GAGCAGCGCCAGATCGACGTTGCTCTATCCCTTATTGAACATTGAATATTTGGTTTTGCGAATTTAGGCTGGAGTATTGCCCTCTAAACCTCTGAAGGCAATATTTAAACAATATTGAATGGATATTTTGTACCCAAAACTCTTTAACCGCAATTTTACCACTACCGGTCTATATAAATATAAATAATGACAATCAGAGGACAATACGACAACATGGTTAAACAACATCCCTGTAAAAATCAGGAATTTAATGCAATTTCACTCTGTTTTCAGCCTCTGTACAGGACTAATGAAATTTGAATTAAAACATTTTCTGTTGAACTTGACCCGAGAATAATCATTTCTATGTACAGAACTAAGTAGCAAATATCAAATATTATGGAACCCCCTCCTCCAACAAGAAACCAATTGTACTTGGCCTAATTTGGATTCTGACATCAGCTTGATCGATAAGCAGAATAATTGAAGAGCCTTTTTACATCTTGCTCCTGTTATCACTTCTTCTTCTTGAGCTGATCTCCTTCCACGAAGAAAACAAATCCTCCTTCTCAGGGCCGTATCCAGAGTTTGATGTTTGGGGGGTGAGGCACATACATGTAATTGATCGACGTCCTGGGGAGGGGTCTAAAAAAGTTCAACCGATCTTGGAAAAAATGTGGGGGTACGTGCCCCTCCCCCGCCTACCCCCCCCCCCCCCCCCCCCCCCCCCCCCCCCCCCCCCCCCCGTGGCTACGTGCCTCCTCCTTCCCGCGGCCCACAAGGCCGACAAAACAAATAAATAAATAAGGAAAGATTGGAAATTATCAGTATCGTGGGCTGTCGCTCTCAAGGGTCGTCGCTAAATCGAAGGTAACAATGATTAATGTTGTACTACATGTTATAATAATTATGGCATTTTCATGAGATAGCTCAAGAGTGTAATTCCCATTCTATTTAAAATTTAAAAAAATTGAATTTTTCACTCTTAGGTGGGTTAAAAATAGTTATGCTGCCATTTACCACATCTATATTTTTCAAGGAAGGACTGATGTGTTTGTGTTAGCTTGTTTTAGTGGAAATTAAAATGATTACTCTACCTACTAGGATTAAATCAGTTAATCACCAATTCTCTGATGGAAATTATGAGTTGTTAGTTTACTAAAGATGACTTTACTGAAATGAAATATATTCTTTCAATAATAAACAGGGTATCACATTCGCACTATTAAAAAACAAAGTAAACAGTCAATATGGCATATCTGGATGACTTTGCAATCACGGATTATAATGTAACACTGGGTCGCCGCTTGATTCACAGTGGCAGGGGCAGCTACTATAGTGGCTGGATAATAACTCAGACCCTACTTTTTATATTATCAGGATACAAGTAAATTCTTAGATTAAAATGATAAGTGCGTACAAACAATGATTCGACACGGTAGTACTGAATGAGTTCGGGTAAACCCTTCGTGTGCACGGTATTGTGAAATGGCTTACGGAGTTACGGTGGTATACTGACGCACACAGTTATATTATATGTATGTGAGACTGCGGTATGAACAAACAAACAACGTTCTGTGTCAATAACAGACGTGTATGCATGTGCAAGGTTAACTGCAAAAGCCTACTGCTATTTATGTTAGCACATCTATTTCGCTTTTAAATTCACAAGGACAAGGAATGAGTCAGGTAAGTTTGTTTATACATAATGTTCTATAATTTCGGTTCCTAAAGTAAGCAGTAGAAGACGTCCTACAGAGATATTAAGAAAAGACCTGCTTTGCATGCCACATATAAACATATTTAACACACATAAACACCTGATCGACAACCGCACAAACTATATAGTACATGCAGTTCTTTTGGTACCGAATCTTCCGATCGTCACGCCTAAGTATTTGCACAATATTATTGTACATAATGATGCCGTGTGGTTAATAGACGCGCGAGTATAATATGTGCATATATAATCGAACGTAGAAGCGATACTGTAGTTTCGTGCTATACTGCTAGCTCGTGGAAAATTGTTAACTTCGTTAGCATAGCCTAATTAGTATTACATACATGTACTCCTAAATAGTTTTCCGGATCGATTACAGAGTCTTGATATGTCGACAACTATAATAGTACAAGTATGCGCTGGTTATCCTTTTCTCTGTCAATCGAAAACACTCCTTGCTGCAAAAAAGATACATTTTAATTTAAAAAAAACAATGTAGAAAAATACTGTACTATTCCTAATTGAGCCAGAAAGCATATGGATATGAATTGTTTTGCGAGTATCTATAAACAGACAATATTAATCTCTTAAGTATTTAGTGTAAAGTTCCACTTATGCAACTTGTGGAATGTTATATTTCTAAAGCCCCAGAATACTGAATATAAATTCATCGAAATATGTTTCTGCTTCTCATCATTTGTGATTTCTTCTTGTAAATTGAACCGTATTTGTTTTGTTATTACCGTTAGTATGTTTGTTACTATTGTTGACTTACGTTTGTTTTGTAATTATCACCACCTTGGTGTCGTTAGCTCTGTGTAGTTGAAGTTGTCAATTGCCTCTCTCAACTTTTGACGTTAGTTGATATTGACGAAATGTTGTTGGTGCTGCTGCTGCTGTCGTTATTTATTATCACCAATAATCAAGTTGTCATTGAGAACGCCCTGTTGGCGAAAATTGTTGCATTTTGACCTTCTACGGATACACGTTTATTGTAAATTTTCATCCTGACTATTTAAATAACTCAATACAGAATGAACTCCGTGGTCAACAATGATTTTGACGACATCTTGAAAAAAATAGCCAAGGCCATATACACAAATTCAGAAATAGATGATCTTGGAAAAGCCTTGGGATTTGAGGCCCCAGATATTGGTCGCACAATTACACAAAACGCTCAACAAGGAGGAAATTATATGGGAACATTGAATATGCTCAGGACGTGGCGAAAAGGACGAATACCTTTGAAGGAAAAGGAAGAATTGAGGTCGGTACTATTAACAGCTGGATTTGTAAACCTGGCACATCGATATTTAAGCACTCCCGTAGCCGGTAAGCTATACTAATAAAAAATGAATTCGAATTGAATTAAATATAGAATTTTTGCAGTACTCATAAGTTTCGTAGCAGATCACGGACTTGATAATGGGGCGGCATAACATCAGATTTCAGCCGAATATTGCAATTTGTGATATAAGTACCAACTTTGGCACAGAAAAATCGATGTCGAGACACCTAAAATTTGGTCATTAGTTGGGGCCCGCTGTGCACCTTTTACAAAACTCCTTCAGCCTTTTCAGGGTACCTTTTTCATGTATGCTTTGTCCAACATTAATATTTTTCAGCAAATCTGAGGTAGAGAAATACATGTTTGTCAAAATCATTATTTTCAATTTCCAACCAAGAACGTTCCTCCACGCTTATTGCCGCCATTCTCTTTATGAAGAAAAAACCTGTTTGAAAACCTAAACTCGAATTCCTACATCAAGAAAGATAAATGATAAAATAGATCTGTTATATTATCGACTTTGTGCAAAATTTGGTGCTTAAATCATAAAATGCACAATTGAATCACTATACGCCACCCCACTTTTAGCGATGTCCAAAGACGAGCAGTACATTTGTTTAAACATACTGTGCTTATTCAAAGCAGAACACAGAAGAGCTCCATTACTGGCTTAAGAAAATGAATCCGCCTAAAAACAAGACAAAAAATTGTAAAACAATAATCATATTTACTCATAATAATGTTTGTTGTTATTCATACCGAATGAAAAGTAATCGAGTGCATTTTTGTCAGGGCGGGCCGTAATTCTTGTTGTTGTTGTAATTAACAACATGAAAATATCAAATTGTCATTACTGTTGACGATATTAAATTCTGTTAGAAGATTCAGGTGAAAGTTTAAATGAATCTTGTTCGTGTAGCAGAGATTAAACAAAAATTGTTACATCAAGTACATGATAATAAGATAGATGAACTTTTTCACGAAATTCGGAATCGTCAAGAAATTCTATAAATTACTTATTGAACATTTTTTTCCCTTTTTTGTAATAACATTTGTAGAATCTGCAAAAATCACTGAAGGACCAACAGAGAACCGTTCCAAAAATGAGGGTGAGAATTTATCTTCTTTATTTTTGTTGTAGTCATCAACATGAAAATATCAAATTGTAATTACTATTTACGATATTAAACTCTGTTAGAAGATTCAGGTGAAATTTAAAATGAATCTTGTTCGTGAAGCAGAGATACAAAAAAAAAATTATTACATCAAGTACATGATAGATGAACTTTTTCACGAAATTCAAAATCGTCAAGGAAATCTATAAAGTACTTGTTGAACATTTCTTCCTTTTTTGTGATAACATTTGTCGAAACTGCAGAGACCACTGAAAGACCAACAGAGAGCCGTTCCAAAAATGAGGGTGAGGAATCTATCTTCTCTCATAAAAACTAAATATCGAATGAGGAAAACAATGTTTGTTTTATTTCAATATGATATGTATTCTGGTCCATCGACACGATATCCTGGCTCCTAACTCGAAAACTCTTCAGAACAAAAGCTGGAGTCGTCTTCCTGTTGAGGCTTGTATTGTAGTTGAGAAGACCCCCTTGGGAATGGAGCCTTGCGCTTTTTCAAAAGTCTAAACTGAGAAGAGATAGACAGAAAAAGGTAAAATGATAGCAGCTTTAAATGCAAACTGTATTGATATAATTTTGGGGTAGCCTTTAATTCTTGCCAATTTTTTAGATGTCGTGTATTCAGATCTCAATACGTATTTAAAAAAAGGGGAAGGCAGATTATAATATGTCATATGCGAAATTGGAAGTCCATATAATTAAACACAAACATATTATGTGAATCACTCAGATAGACACTTATTCGTGAGAATCAGAAGGGCGTTTTTCTCCTGTCATTTAACACAGTGTAAATGTCCGTCTGGCATTCAGCAGACGTAGGTAACCATTACACACAAAAAATGTGTGTGTGTTTGTGTGTGTATTCTGAGGGTAGGGCATGATCTCTGGTAAGCATAGGTAATTTATACTTGATAGGTATCTGTATAAATGCAGAATGACAGAAAAAAGATGGGGGAAACCGATTAGAGTAAAACTTAAAATTGACAGAGTTACCTCCCTTGTAGAGTACAATTACGTCTTGCTTCTGGTATCCACGGTAATTATCATTTAGGTAACGTCGAGGACATTCCAGTAGTCGAGAATGTGTGTCCACCAAGCGATGAGGCGGTGGAATTAAAACTACGGGATTACCAAGAGGAGGTCCTAACTCCAGCATTGAAGGGACAGAACGCCATGGTGGTCTTGCCGACAGGGACAGGAAAGACAGAAGTCGCCATCGCTCTTATAAGTCGCCGGTTCCTGGCCCGCAACCCTGTAGGAGCCACTAATCATCGAAGGCAGAAGAGTGTGTTCGTAGTGAACAAGGTAGGACCATTGATTCATATTTCAATCTTGTAAGGACCACAGGGCCCCATCTTATAAAGTGTTGATATTAATCGTAACTTGTGTCTTTCTTTATATCGAACCTGAAGAATATTCTGTATCTTTTCATAGCCTACCTTTCCCTTCATTAGCTATGTACTTTTTCCCACATTATGTATGCTTGCATATTTAACCGGACATCCACTGAATTATCCATTACTATAGTTTACTCATTTGCAATAGGGCATCATCACTACTTCTTGTTCGTTTTTCAAAATTAAGAATCCAATATTTTTCCCCAAATGAGATTGTTGTCACTAAATCCAAACTACTACATAGATGAAGAGGTCCTTTGCACCATTCACAACGTCGATCTTGCGCTGCTCAGTGGCTGCCGGGCTCACGATCAATGGGCAAAAGAATTTCCGTTTCGGTTTAATAAAAGTTGGAGTGGACTATTAAGCTATTATTATTATATATTATATTATTATAATATCCTTCAAAATTTACAAGTAGATATTGTAGAAAAGTGAAGTGTGAAGAAAGTATATTGCTTGTTTTTTATACTATAGTTCTTTTAATATACCACAATTTCAGGAATCCTATGAGGGGCTAGTCACTTCCGTCACCCTTACCCCTCACGTTCACTATGCTCGCACTGGCGTACTGATGGGGGGCTAGGGGCAATTGCCCCCCCCCCCAATAAAATTAATGCGGGGTTTATTTCTAATTTGATACCAGTGATTTACAAATGTTGCTGAAATGACATGATTTTCCCCTGAGCTTCCAGAGGCTCTGCCCCCTGGTGAGGACCAAGGGCCCTAAAGCCCCTGGATGCTCATCTGATCGTAATTTAATGCTTAAAATTCCTGAGCTTCTGGGGGTTCCGCGCCCGGACCCCAGTCCACTTAGTGACCTGCATGCCAGTGTCACAATTAAGGTATGAACATAATGCTCATTTGACCGTAATTAAATGCCTAAAACCCCAGAGCTTCCGGGGCTCCGCCCCTGGAAGCCACCAGCGGCCCATAGGCAGGCCCCTGGGTGCTCATCTGACCCAATCGGAATGCCTAAAACCACTGAGCTTGACCCCCGCCGGGGGTTTTCCCCTGTACCCCACGCCAACTTACGCCCCACTTGCTTTGCTCTACCTGATCGTAAATACTTTAGCCCCCCCCCTACTTTGAAAAATGTTCCGCGGTGCCTGCATGTAACATGTAAGAATGGTGGTGATGCGGAGTTTTTTCTGCCCCCTCAACGTTTTTGGTTATTACGTCACTGCTCCCTCGTCCCCGGTCATGAACAGAAATCGCCGCCCCTGGTCACGGGTATGAAGCCAAGACAATGTTTTAGTGCCTTCTTGTTAGGTATTAATCATCATTTCCAAGTCTCTCGGAGAGGATTTTAAGCTGTCGCATCGGTGCCCTGGGTGTTCACCAATAACGAGCATGACATGCTTCTATAGCATTCAGGGAAAACAAATCATCACCATAAAAAATCACTCGTTCTGTTATAGGTTCCCCTAGTGAAACAACAGAAAGACAGGTGTCTGAAATACTTGAGGGGAAAGTGTAAGGTCGCTGGAGTTAGCGGTGTGGAGTCGAACCGTGTGCCATTGAACTCCGTCATCGATTCCAACGACATCACCGTCTTGACGGCACAGGTGCTCGTCGACGCCCTCAAAGATGATAACATTAAGCTTAAACTCTCTGACATCGCACTCCTTGTCATAGACGAATGTCATCACTGCCAGGTAATGTAATCTAATTGGATGTTTCATTTTACAGTTTATTCGAATATGGACCCCCACTTGTTTCAAATAAATGTATCAGGGTGGTTGGAGTCAATATGTATTAGTTCTATGACATATACGAAATGTTTTTACCTGCACAGTTCGGGCGTCTACGGTTCATGCTTTGCCATAAGACTCAAGATCGAGGAAGGTATCTAAACGACGGACATTGTTAAAGCCACAATGTTAAATGCCTGCAATGTGTACCAACTTGGCAATTGTTTCTATTGTATTCCATTTCTTCTCTGACGATACATTTTTGTCGAATTCTGGTACATCTTGATTAGTTGAATAGGTCTACATTAATATTCCTCATTCAGACTTGACATTTTCTTGATACCTATGTAGCTTTGTAATATTTATGTGTTTGATTAAATCAGTATCGTTTGTTCAGCACTATGATACGAATTGTTAACAAGAAAAATGGACATACATGTATTTTACTGCAGTATTTTGTGTCATCATTGTTTGTTGAAGGTCATAAATGATTAGCTAAATTGCATGTAAGTTTTTGGTGTTACGCTCGTTTAATGATTGCCTAATAGTAACAGCATTTGTAAGGTATTCTTTTTGTACACGGCCAGGACGATCAATATCTTTAAATCTATCATTATGTTTTGATGTTGATTTCAAAATGTTAAAGACTACAGAAGCTTAATTGTTGCAATTGGTATTAAAAAATAGTTTAAGTTTTCTTTTGAAACAATTAATTCGCAAGTCAAAAGGAGCTTAAAATCGTCATGTACCTCAATCATGTCTCTCTTTATGTCTTTTCAAACCACAGAAATCTAATCCATACAATGTTCTGATGGCTATGTATAGAGACCTAAAGCTAAACTCTCCGGAACTTCCGAGACCACAGGTAATGAATAATGGGTTGTAAAATGAAAACCCTAATGTACTTTATGTAGTCGTTATATTATACAATGGAATACACTAATAAACCTTTCATTTAGTTAAATATAAATATCTGCGTCCATTTTTGATTTTATTTCATGCATAGGCCCATATTGTTTTCTATTTTTATTCATAAAATGTTATCTTCTTTTCATTATCTGTCTGTTTATTTTCTCTATAATTATATCATTATTTTAATTAATAGTCATTATTTTGTATGTTCCTGAAGTGTATTTTCTTATATTATACTATGTATTTTAATTGATGCACGAATTAGCAGAAGCAACCATTGGCTGAAGCAAATGTCTCCAGGTTGAAATAAAATAAAATGAAATGAACCCTATTTCTGTGAAGAAAACCAGTCTACCTAATGGACATGGAAGCATAATTTATATAATAAATTGGTACATATCAGGCATATACATGTATTCTTATAATGTAGGCGTATACATTAATAATAATAATAATAATAAAAACGTTACTTATAAAGCGCTTACCACCGAAGTCTCTAAGCGCTACATTGATAGTGTCGGTATATTAAAGGTAATACAAAGTTTTGGGAAATTTTGAAAATTGGGTGGACAGTGTTTCTTTAAAACTTTGATATCTTTGGATGCCCCTGTGGATGTATTATTAGCACTAGTAAATTTAGCCCCTGAAACACTTCTGCTTTCGAGAAAAAATGAATATAAAGATTTTCCGGTGCTCCCGGTAAATTTTGATAGATTTCAAATGACGCCTACGGCCGTACAATGGTAGCTGCGATCATGACCATCTCAGAATATGTAGTTGTGATATGTAATCTCCAAACGGAAATAGCCAATTGTCGATTTTAGTCAAGAAACATTGTTTTATAACTTAATTAATATCTTGACCTTCAGAGGGAGCTATACAACATACAGAGTTTATTATTTACAATTTCATAAGTTTAGACTCGATTTCAACCGCAACAACGATTACTGAATATTGTAGGATCGCATATGCTTCCAATATGTTCATTTGAACCAAATTCATGACCCCATACCGAAACTTTGTATTACCTTTAAGAACTTCCTTTAAATAAGATGACAGGCCCTTAAGGCACTTTTTTTAAAACTATGACCAAATAGCTAAATGGCCCTTTGAGAGCGTGAAACTTTTCAAAGATAAAGAATTAGAAATCAATTACAACTTTTTCTTGTAGCATGGACCTAGATTGACCTCCCATAGCTTAATGAAAAATTTTCAACATTGCTTTATGTGCATGAGGTATCCCTAAACAGCCAATTGTTTACGGAATTTTGTAACAAAATTGACATACCTCTTTGGTTGGAGCCGAAAAAAATATATACCCACAAACAATATGTTTTTTTTTCTATTGACGATTAATGAGCATGGGTGGATCTTAAAGAAAGTTAACAGTAATCTGAATGAACTCCTGTATTTTGATGGAACAGTGCAATTGAAAATGGTGTTTCGGACGTTACATTTTCCGTAAACAATGTAGACCCTCATTTAACCCACTAGAACAATAAATTAATGAGATGGTTGATGGTTTGAATAAGCTTATTAGTTACACCAAGTCATTAATTTAAAAGAAAACATAATTTAATTGTAGTAGCGCTTACATTAGAAATATACTCAAAATATGAAAAAGTTGTCTTATTTTCCGTAAACAATTTTGTAACGTCCGAAACAACTTTCAATTTGAAGTAGCAGAAAATATATGAACTGCAGGACCTATCTTTCGTAAATTTTTTTAAACATTTCATGGCGGCTACCCACCAAAAAAAGAAATTTGCAATACATCATTGCAATACTATTTTATAGTTAAAACCAATTTTCCGTTAACAGTTGTAACATCCGAAACAAATGTAACATCCGAAACAAAAAATACCAAATAAATGATGATAATCCATATTTTAGGGTATCTTGAGTGAATAAATCATGATGAAATAAGTTATTATAAGTCTTAACACAAGTCAAAACACAAATCAGGTCTTTCAAATCTAATAAATTTGTGTAAGTTCAAGAAGGGTGTTTCGGACGTTACACTATTTGATTATTAACACATAGTTTGCAAATTTCAACAAATTTTCGATCATATGTGCAAGTTACGATTTCACAATGCACACTACTGTTAAAAACACTATTTTGATAATTCTTTTAGATCTAAATATAAAAAATATGAAGAAATATGATGCAAAAAAAAAAAATCAATTTTCCGTAAAATATCTGAATTTTCTGCAAAATTGACTTATAAAACATAAAATATTTACACCACACATTGTGATGCAAGGCATGTCTGGCTGCTTTAGTATACCCTTAATTGTAATTTATCTGGGAAATATGGATTTTCATTTGAAAATACCTTTTAAAAAGGGCACTCAGTACACGTAACTTATCTGTGTAGAAAGTACATACATGTATAAAAGAAAAAGACGTCACCATTAATACCTTATTTAATGATCCTAAACATATACATGTAGTATCTTCCTCAAAATAATGTATGCATACATACAAAATGTATAAGCTAGTGTGAAATATAAATGGGCTGTCCGTTTGCTTGTTTTTGTTTTTTCCCCTCTACGAAATGTCAAAGTTGGGGCGCTGCGGCCTTATCGCCGGCAAATACGGTACATGTTTAACGTACACTGTATATTGTTTGTCACCTGTGATATCAGCACAGCAAGAGTTAAGTTCTATCAACCAACCAACCAACCAATCAATCCATCCATCCATCAATCGGTCAGCGAGTAAATAAATAAATAAATACTTATTTAAGAGCATTAAAAAAATGTCGTTTGAAACAGCCTCCTAATACAAATAGTGGTAAAGGATGATTGTTACTACAGTAATGTAGGGATTTATTTTGAACTTCTGAAACTCCCCTTCATATTCATGATTCATCCCTTTCATATTAATAGGTCATCCCTCATTCACATTCACCCTTTTCATCCACCATCCTTTCTTCTATCTATCTCTCTCTCTCTCATTGGTTTCCATGTTCACCTGATGCAGTCAAGCTTAAGATATAATTTACATATACTATGAATATTCAATATATACCCTTTGTTTATGTTTGAATATTCGTGTTGATTTATACTTGTATGGGACTATATAAATACTTATTGGTTTATTCTACTTTGCATGGAATGTATGTGGAATGCTACATAGAATGCTGTAATGCATTTACACATTAAAATCTGGTCAGTTAGCCAGTAGTTATCAATCCTACAACATGTCTGCTAGGCTGCCTCTGTGTTGAGAGTGCTAGGAATTATCTGTTAGAACCGCAACCCTACAGTAGTATTATAACCTAAAACATACACAATTTTAAAATACATCTAAAATGTCTCGTTCTCGAGATGGACATGAATTAGGATTCACTTATTTCTTATTACTTACATGACTGGGGGTATTTTTGTATAGTTTTATTTTTAAAAAGATTGTTCAATGTTTTGCTTACATACAGGTATGTGTTAGTGATATTATTGAATGACACACTATATAGTTGAAGGAACATTAGCCAGCTGATTAAACATCTATATTGTAGAGTTTGTAGAAATTGATAATCCCATTGAAATGTTAACATTATGTAACATCCGAAACAAACCATAGCATACACTTCACACTGTTGTTCTTAACATGCAATAAAGAGTATGTTTCTAAGTTAATTTTCTAAGGAGTTTTGATGACTACAATTGCTATTAGCTTCATATTTCACTCTGTTAGATCACATAAGCATTTTTAACTACCGGTACACGTTCTTGAAATGAATAATATACCTTACATAAGATGAGTGGTCGATGAAGACAAACTTGGTATACATGTATTTGCTATTACAACTGCCCCCAAAATTCCATAAATGTTACAAAAGTATTTTTCTGCAAATAATTAATGTAAATGTGACCAATAATACCTAAAGAAAAGCAATTAACTTGAATAAGTTACGATGTTAACAATGTGTAACGTCCGAAACATCAGTGGTGTGACAAATGAAAATTATTAGGCAATGCACTGGTTCCCAATTTTTTAGCATGTATTTACCTTATATCATCAGTTGTTATAATAAAATAAGTTTGACCTAAGAAAACAACATTTTACCTATTGAAATTAAAACTTGTTATTGTCAAAACCCAAATTTAGAGCTATTTTTCACTTTCAAGGGATACAAAATCTGTAATTTTCAAGATAGAAACACAAAAATTTGCATGAATAATCTCTGAAACATATTCCTAAAGACCCAACATATTTAAAGGTGTAGTTAATAGCAAACGAGTTTTATATCACAGTTATTAGATATGCTATAGTTCACAATAAAATTTTAAGAACTTTAGTATTCCTATCTGGTGAATAAATAAGGAGATAGATTAAGCTCCAAAATGTGCATTTCTCATAAATATGAATAGTCCTGATCCTAAAAATACACGTTTGAAGTAAGTAAACATAATTTCATTTTTTACCCTGTTATCGACACATTTGGTAAATGTTTAAAAAAACAGTGCCTTAAGCCATATCTTTGTTTCTTAAGAATGATTGGTATTTTACAGTAAGAGTCTTTACGAGATTAGCACGATAGTTATAAATAATGTAGATTTTCCTCAAAGATCATAGGTGACGTTACGAGAAAACTCATTTCCCCCGACATTTGGTAGTTTCCTTGGTAGGTTAAGATCTATTCTACAAATATGTTTACTGTCCAGTAGGTTATTTCTACATTTCATTAATGATTTTTTTTTTGTAGTAAATTAGTGTGTAGATAAAATTCATGTTATGTGCATTGTATACACATTTGATTTGAACTTTGCTAACAGTTATTTCTTTAGGTGGCAATACGTGTAATGTAGATATATCCTTGATATTTGAAACGCGCTTCTCTCCTACTTGACACGAATAAGATACTTGGACTGACAGCATCACCTGGTGTTGGGAATTCGAAGAACACGGTGCAGGCTGAACGCTACATCACAAAGCTCTGTGCAAACCTAGACTGCAGAATATCACGACCTAAGATCTATGCTGACCAGCTTAATGCGAGGAGTAGCTCACCCCAGGAAAGTAAGTTGTTTTGTATCAATATACCTATATAAATCCTTATCTGTTTTAACGCTTTGCCCCTCATGTTTCCAAGCTATCCTACGGATTAGGGAAATCTTGGAAATTACTTACTTTTGTCGAGTGTTACAAGTTGACAGTCAAGTTCAAGTTTAAGTTTTATTTCAATTAAAATCCATAAAAACACATTTTATGAAAGTATGAAATACAAATTATATACAATATAGAAAACAGAGAACATACACAAAATGTAAACATGTCTCAAATATACCAAAACTATTATAGTAATAATGACTGACATAGTTGTTTTTAAACGCTCAATGGGAGGTTACAATTGTGCTATTGCCCGAGCCGTGCCGAGGGCAATGGCACCATTGTAACCTCCCATTGAGCGTATAAAAACAACTATGTCATTACTACTTTTATAAACCGGACAAAAAAGAGTCAACTTATGACACCATCTTGGCTTTTTTCTAGTTATCTGCACATGTATCAACACAAAATTATGGCATCTGCCATAGACTTAGTTTTGTCTCAGAAAGTGAATGCGTAACAACATTCAAGAACAAAAGGCAGCGGGGTTACACGTTCCCCAGATTTTTAGTCCACAAAATAGCAGATATTCTTTGCTTTCAAATGCGTTTCGCCCCATTTTATAAAGTTAATGGTAACTTAAGATATGGTCGAATTGATGCAACAATGTCATAATTCGTAGTAGTAGTTTACGTGTTGTAGCTGTAGCGACTTAGGCCTACACGTATGCGCACACAATTTCCAAGAACAAAACAAACAGTTTTCATTATTGATCTTCATCGAGAAGTTGAAATCTAGGAAGAGTTTCTTCAGCCATTTTTGCCTTGTTTGGAAACTAAAGTAGAATCTAGGCCGGATTTTAGTAGCACGATCGACATTTAAAAAAAAATTAAGCTAGCGACCAATTCACACACACACAATGTATGGTATCCGCGCTCGCTCAAACATATAGCTCCGTTTAGTACGTCTCATTTGACAACGCCCCCTATCGTCAGAGTCAGCAGCCTAACATGTTAGCCTATGGAATTTTACCCCCCCCCCCCAAATCGTTAAAATTTCATTTTTTGTCGAAACGAAAAGCACATCCACCCCGACGTACGTTATCACTAGCTCTCTCATCGGAACCCTCATGTCCCATTGACTTTTGAAAGTTCACCCACCATAATTTGATCAAAATAGGTTGCAAGCTCGCCATTGTCTATAATACACATGTGAAACAAGTCGAACTTTGGATTTAGTTTGCCAAGCGATTGTAAGGTTTTAGGTCAAGCACACGAAGGATAAAAAGCATGAATTATAATAGATCAGTTCTGATCGGTTCATTATGTCCATTTCAACCAACCCCCACCGTAATTTTTCCATTGAAGATAAGCAAACATTTTGCCGAGGTAAGCAAAAACATGAATATTCATGATCGCCATGGACTATTCGATTATTTACAGAGGGGTGCAATCTTTAAGTCAAGTATTTCATTGTATTATGTAGTTTGGTAGGTTTATTTTAATAATTGTTAAATCATCAGATATCAATGATAGCTTAAAGATATGGAAATGTTCTTGTATTTTATATTTAGCAAAGCAATCTCACATACAAATTCACTACCAAGTGTCGTCTTATCCGCTGATTGTCGTCTGCTATATACGTCCAGCGAGCGAAAATGAGACAACCGGAGCAATATGCCAGATTTTAACACTTGAACCAATCGGTATTTCAGCAAGATTGAACTATTTTACCGATAAGTGGAATTTTTGCCGGGATTTTACTGATTTACTCTAGAACTATTACATAGGTTTGGCATTTTTCGTTTATTTACGGGAATGGCTAAAACCACAACTACAATTTCGACCAATCAGATGGCTGTATTTCTTAAGTGAGGTATATAAACAAAAGTTAATCGATAGAAATGAATTGGGGAACTGCAAATAAAACAGTATTTATTATTAAAAGATACATACAAGTTCCAACAATAGCCTATAAAAGATATATCATTGACAAAATAGTGTACAAAACATAGTAGACGTATTAACATGCATAGATTACTATTGATTACAAAACAGATGAAGTATTGTTCAATTTTTAATTTAAAATAGTTAAAGAGAGTAGAATAACAAATAACAAATAACAAGTTCCAACAATAGCCTATAAAAGATATATCATTGACAAAATAGTGTACAAAACATAGTAGACGTATTAACATGCATAGATTACTATTGATTACAAAACAGATGAAGTATTGTTCAATTTTTAATTTAAAATAGTTAAAGAGAGTAGAATAACAAATATATCTTGGGAGAGAAATTCCAAATTTTGGGGCCAGTGTGTTTAAAAGTAAAAGAAGAACTTATTGATTGACATTTATCAATCAAATAATAATCAGGATTTCTAGTATTATATATATATATATATATATGTGTGTATTTTCTTGTGTACTTATATCTTTTCTTCTCCATGCGCCTCGAACACATTATTCATGTGGAGTTGGCGCAGTACAAATACTCTGTATTATTATTATTATTATTATATGAACAGATTGTTTATATTATATAATAGTGGCAAGATAAATCGGCAGTTTATCGATTTTAAGTTTAAAAACACATGAGTGATATTCAATATTGATTCAACTGATAAATATTTAAAAACTGTAATTGTTGAAAATGTCGGTTTGTAATAGGCATTGAAATCAAACATAGGACATATTCGTACTGCTTTTGTAATATAAGCAGTCGTTGCAATCTTGTTGGGTATGCGTTTAATTTAAAATTTAATTTCTTTTTGAGAGGAACGGAGAGAATGATGCATTGTGTCTCTTTTTATCGTACAGTTCCGATAATAACGAAAGGAAGGCCTATCGAAGATCCTTTCTTCCATGAGATCAGTGTCATTATGGGACGCATCGAAGATAAAATCGTGGAAGGTACCCTCTCTATCTCACTTAGATTTAAACCATATACCCTTTTTTTGTCACCCAATCACAATTTACAGGATACTTAACTGACTTTTAGTGAGTTACTATGATTTCTGATGTCTGTGTAAAAATCTTTCAGGTGAAAATGAAAGTGGTTTGATTATGTAATACCAACATTAATATCAAGTTCCTGTATAGCGCATAATACATTATGAAATAACGTCTCTATGCGCTTCCAAAGAGCTTTTGAAATGTTGTTGAATAATGCAAATCATTTCTCTAAAAGCTTTATAATACGACTAAATTTATTTTAGTTTAATGTTTTAAAAGGTAATACAAATAAAAAATGGCAACGGTAGTGTTCTTTTGCTTCACATTTTGAAACAGATACAAACCGCTCAACATGAAAATATGAAAAGAAATAGTGTTAACAAGAGATGAAGCAAAATCCCCTAAATAAACAGGGTGGTTACAATTGCTTATTGATTACAAGTACAAAAGATAAATCACGAGTGCTTATTTTTGAACACAGGCGGAAGAGCGCTGGTGGAGGAAAATGACGAATTCGCTAAAATGGTATCTCGCCGTGGTACGCAAATCTATGAACAGGGTGTGGTCAAATTGGAGGAGAAAATTCAACAAACGATAGAGAATGGAAACGGCATATGGGAACTAATGACTTGTGTGAACTACCTGAGGGTAAGCTAACGTGAAGATCTTTTTTATCTGATTCATTTTTCATGCAAATGAGAGGATGTATTTTAACAATATTGCAATATACGTGGTGATATATACGTAGATTTCTGTTAAATATGATGAGACAGTCATAATATATAAATGTATATATCACTTAATAAATAATTTGATTAGTATAACAAGTTGATATTGTAGTAGTTTTACGAACATGTTGGAGACATGAGTCAATGATATTAACAAATTTATTGTAAGCACGTATACCTTTGTATGCCCTTTATACGACTGTTAACGTGCATATCGTATTAACAAATAAATTATAATTTATCTTTATGTCATTCATCATATTCAGAGTTTAATTCCAAAAGGAGCTAGATCCATTTGTTTAACTTCGGAGAAAAAGAAATTGTTTACCAGATATTTTACAAGCGTCTATGGGAAATTGATATTAGAAGGTGCATTTTTTCATAATTTCTCCCAAAATTTAGGTAAATGATTTTGTTGACAGACTGATATCAATTACTAAATTTTCACCGAAAGTGGATTTAGCTCCTTTTGGAATTAAGCTCTTCATATAAACATCATAAAAAACATTTACAATACAAAATATACTGTACAAGTTAAATAAAAACATTTACAATATAATTCAAAACAACAAAAATGTCAAATGAACGCAGAGACAGCTAGGAAAGCCAGAGTCTTTATAATACATTTTATTGTTGTTTAAAAAGTTAATTTAAAACTAAAAATTAAAAAATTTAAAACCTGACCGTTTACAAAATCAATCTATTTTTATATTGTTTGAGTAATCATGATTTATATCTCCATTTAAAAACATTAATTGATGGACTAAATTTCATATAATTTCACAATTGTGGCCCTTTAAAATATAAAAATTGTTTTGTTATATGTAGTCTTCAATAAATGAAAATTAGAAGAACTTCGAGTATTAAATGAATGCAATACAGAATTAGGACAAAAATTGCTAGAAAGACTGATAGCTATAAATTTTTTGAAACATAAATACAAAGATATTGCAAATCTATAATTACAAAGATCCAAGACATTCAAAAGTCTTAATTAGTAGAAATAAAGGTTTAATATGAGCAAAACAATCGGCATGTAAGACTAATATCATAGCTTTTGTTGTCAATATAAAAGTCTAATCATCGCATGACCAGTTGAGACTTTTTTGTTTACTTCACCCTTACATTCATTTCTCAAAGTTTCATAGGAGATTTCATTTTTAAGAGTTGGCTTATGAATAAACCTTCATCATTTGAAGGCGACATTTTTAATACACATTTTACGTAATTGTTCATTAAACCAAGATTTTTCTTATTTCTTTTTACAGGATCTGCGTACAATATTAAAGCATTCATCATATAAAGATTTAAATTTAAATAAAAAATAATCATAATTTAAATAAATTGTCAAATATTATTTTCACACACGTCGCGTTTAGTAAATACAGATTTACAAATATTTTCAATTGAATCATTATGAACACAGAATATAGGAAAATGATCACTTATATCAACAGACAGAATCCCGCTACATATATTTTCAATATCTTGCAGAATTGACCCGAGTAGGGTAGTGAATCACAAGGAACATAGAATTTACCTTAACGACATCCAAGAAATAATTTATTTGTTGGCAAGAACTTTGATTTCATAGGTTGATATTTTACTCTCCAGCAAAATATTTTAGTTTATTTTCTTTATCTACTATATTTAGTACTGGCTAAATTCAAAGACTCTATAGAATGATGGAAAGCATGTATTAGGTGGTCAATATATAGTTCCAAACATAATACTTTTCTCATCTGTTTTAATTTCAATAAATTATCAGTGTGTATCATGTCATATGAGTTTGCTTTACACTAGGTCGTAAAATTTACAAACAAAACATTATTATAGAGTCATCGCAATGGTTCTCTTTTCAGAAATACAACAACAGCTTAATCTTATATCGTGATGCACGTACGTCAGATGCCATCTCCTACATGGAGGACTACATCAATGAAAAGGAGGAGAGAAATCCTTCAGGATCTGCTGATATGATCCTTAGGAATATGTTCCGAGGTTGGTGATTGTTTGTATTCTAGAATCTATATTTAGAACAATATCAATACTTTAAAATACACACGATCATTTTGTAAAGTTGTATAATTTATTTATTGATCGATTTTTTTTATTTGTAATTGATTAATTTTTAATCCAGAGTGGCTTAGCCAGTTATTTTTACATTGTTAGCCTTTAAGGCCCTGCACACATAAATTGTTTGTCTTATTGTCAACACTATTGGCCCCATGACTTGCTTACAAAAAGTGTCACCTTAGTTTTGCCAGTCAATATTTGATCCAGAACACTTACAATAGTTAACCTTTAACAGAGGTATAGCATAATTTGTTTTTAACATCATATAGACATTCAACGGGGAATACCGGGATTCCGTCCCAAGATAATGAACGATCTACATGTAGTCGTGTCAAACCTAAATAGGAGGGATACATCTTTACCGCGGGGAGATGCCTCTACTGTCTCAGATTAAATCATATTTTATTTTGCAAAAAGTATAGACACATCAAACCCTTTCCCTGGTAGGTCAACGAATATTGTTCTTTGTTCAATGTATTCCAAACCGATCTGCATTGAACTGAAATACTGGCTCATAAAGTGCTTTTAAATATTTGTTGATTAATAATGTCTAGATTTATAGCTTCCACTTTGATATTTACACTTCATACTCTTCATAAGTCCGTAATTTGTCCATTCAAGTCAGTTATTGAGGCATACGTTTAATCTTGAATGTCCAGATAAACTTGAAACTTTGAACCGAAACGCCAATCTGCCTGCCAGTATCAACCCCGTTTTGAATGAGCTTGATAAGCAACTAAAGAAGGAGTATGCAGAAAATGAGGATTCCTCTAGCATCATCTTTACAAAGACCAGAGCGTTAGCCAAGGCTCTGGTGAAGTGGCTCAATAAAGACCCTGATCTGAATCACACCAAGGCTGAAATATTTATAGGAAGTGGTAATCAAGGTAGAGTTGTGATTCTGTTCATCTTATTTATTTGGACAACGTCTTAAGAAATTATTATTAATCCCGATTCCGTATGAAGTTCATGGTATTGGACAGCTTCAAAGAGTATACAAACAAATGAAAACAAAAAAATGAATGATATATAATGTACACTGTCAGTCACTTCACCAAGACACCTAACATTGACGCACAGCATATCATCATCATGGCTTCCTTCTAGTATTTGTTGAAAGGAATTACAATTTCTAGGTTTCAAGGTTTCAATTTGTTATCAGTTTAGTTCAGTTCATTCAATAATTAACACTTTTATAAATGCATAGCAATACAGGAAAAAAAAAACATATCCAATAACAATAGCAAATAGAAAATGAAATTGAACAACAATAAATTCGTCTGAAGTTTTGGGGATAAGCGAGAAGAGTTATTTAAAGCTAAGATGTGTCTTCCTTTAATTAAGTCCACTCATCAACAGGATTATGCAGATTGTACACATGTTTTTCTTTAATACACATCCTAGGTATGACGTCAACAGAACAGAATAGGATCCTGCAGTTGTTCAGAGATAAGAAGTGCAGGATCTTAGTTGCCACATCGGTCGCAGAAGAAGGCCTGGACATTACAAACTGCAACATGGTCTTCAGCTACAACTACGTGACCAGCGATATTGGTTATGTCCAAACTAAAGGTATAGGCTTCATTTTTCAAGTTCGCTACAGCTGTTACCTATACAGTGTCCTAGGATTCTATAATAAAATAACCAAATCCTTTGTAACAAAATAATGAAGAAAAATATTTTCAAAAGGATTATAAACCTACTGTTTATAGTTTATTTCCTTTGAATCAAAATGATATGTTGGTAATAGGTGATATGAAGCAGTGGTTACGGTCAGGGGCGTCGCTAGACCTCTTTCAGCGGAGGGGGGGGGGGGGGTGTAGAGGCCAACGATTACCGACAAAACTAGCCACCAATTACCGACAAAATTAAAAGTCCAATATCTACAAATTTAACCCTATTAACCCGGGGCCGAAGGCTAAATTATTTTTCCTATGGCCTATCTATAGTACTTGCGTATGCGCAAATTTTCCTCGACGACATAAATATATGAATTATTTCGTCAACTTAGTCAGCATCTATATTTTAATGCAGGCGCGGTAGAGAGCAGGCGAATCACTTAAAGAGCACGCGAAACGCGCTCATTAGGGGGGGGGGTGGGTGATAGGCCTCCCGCGCGAAGCGCGGAAGCTTAAACGTTACCTTAAATTATTAGGAAAAGAAGACGATTTATTGTACTGTTCTCGACTCTTAATCCTTATCTGAATTCAGTTTTTCCCCCACCCGCGCGAAGCGCGGAAGCTTTGACGTTTCATTAAATTATGAGAAAAAAGTAGACGATTCGGTGTACTATTCTCGACTCTTAAAACCTTATCTGAATTCAGTTCTCCCCTTCCCGCGCAAAGCGCGAAAGTTTTGGAGTTTCATTAAATTATAAGAGAAAGTAGACGATTCGTTGAACCGTGCTCGACTCTTAATCCTTGTCTGAATGAAGCTTCCCCCTCCCGCGCAAAGCACGGAAGTATTGGCGTTTCATTAAATTATTAGAGAAATAGACGATTGGTTGTACCGTTGTCCACTCGACAAAATGAATTTTCCCTTCTGCGCGAAGCGCGGAATTTTTGGCGTTTCATCACAATATAGAGAAAGGAAGACGATTTTTCGTACCGTTTTCGACTCTTATAAGCCATATTTGTCTGAATTTAGTTTTCCCCTCTCGCGCGAAGCCCGGAAGCTTTGACGTTTCCTTAAATTATTAGAGAAAGAAGACGATTCGTTGTACCGTTTTCGACTCTTAAGGCACTTACGGATGCAAAGAGGATGTAAAGCGTAAAAAATCTTGCCATCCGTTGGAAAACGCTATGCATCCGTTGTGTACTCATTGCATACGTGTTTCATACGCTTGATCCATTGAGCATCCGTCCACTGTGATTTCATCCGCGCAAAAAGTTTTGAGCTGCACAAAACTTTTAGAACGGATGAACTTCCGCCGTGTACGATGTAAATCCGCGACAAATACGAGCAACAAACGTTCTATGTCCGTTATCATTCGTTAAACGTCCGCTGTATCCTTTGTGCATCCTCTGGGCATCCTCGCAACTCACATCCGCTGCAGCTGAAAACGGAAAGAGGGAGGAAAGAAAAGGTACACGGAACGTCTATACATCGTTAGTAGCACGGAAATAGAGAGGATGTAAGCGTATGCATCTCGTATATAAAGTATTCAAAGCTGTCATCCACTTCCATCCGCTTTCATCCGCTAGGCTTCCGATGAACATTCGTTTAACATCCCCGCTACATACTACCCACGTCCGTTATTTTCCGTTCTGTTTTCGCAAATTTTCGCAAATTTTGTTCATTTCATCACAATAAAGAGAAAGGAAGACGATTCGTCGTACCGTTGTTGACTCTTAAACCTTGTTTGAATTTAGTTTCCCCGCAAATTTTAAACCTCTGATATCTTTAGCTGATATTATAGGAAAGTGAAACTTCGAGAAAATACAAGTCTTGTAGTTGTAGTCACTCTCGAAGTCGTTACAGCGGATTAAAAGTCACAGTTCGTAGGGAAAAAAACTTGTCGGCCGACCGACAATATACATCTCACCGAAACTTCTGCATTGATATTAGTACACGAGGATCGAGCAAGAATACCGACACAGCTGACCCGACACAGCAACATATTTGACCGTGTCTTTCTTGCTCCCTCGACGAAACGACTCCCCCCAACAACCCCCTTCTCTCTTTTACTCCCACTCCTCTTCTCTCAGGCCCTTACCTCCCCTCTCTTTTATCCCTCGTTTCTTTTGTTTCCCTTTTACTCTTATTTACTTTTTCTCTTATTTCCCGACTGCAGCGCAATTTTACCGACAAAATCCTGACAAGTGGGGGGGGGGGGGTGTCACACCCCACCCCCCCCCTTTGGCGACGCCCCTGGTTACGGTATGAATGACATTGACAGTCACGGTTCTCAAATTTTAATATGATTGGGGTGTCCGCTAGCATTTATATTGCATGCTCTAGGAATGGGAAAAATATATAGAGATCTCTCATTTTAAAATGGAGGTGGCATCTGGAAAACCGCTGAAGTACATGCTCTTGGAGTTGGATAAAATATACTGGGCTTGCTCATAATTCTAGCCCCCACTAAACTTTGAACTTGCTAATAGGCCTAGAATATAGCCATTCATGTTATTCTACATAATTTTTTATTTGTTTTGTAGGTCGTATCCGGGCCGACTGTAACGGGAAAATGTTCGTCATTGTGAATTCCGATCTCCAGCTTCAGGATCTTGAGCTCAAGACAATCATACGGGTGGAGATGATGAACGAGGCTGTGCAAAGCATTGCTGATTTCACTCTAGACGATCAAGAAGCCTTTGATGATCAGGTAAGACAGTGTGATAACATTGCAGTATAAATCAGAAATCATCAATTTAGTGTATAATCCCATTTCCAAAATTAATTCATTATTGGCCTAAAGGAACATTTTCAAACTTATGGCACATACGTCAAAAAAATACTGCCTTAATAGTGTGTCTACAGTGAATGCAAAAATATGAAACACTACCTAAGATGCCCTCTTTGCTGAATAAATTAAATACATCTGCATATGTCACGTACCAATAACATTAAACAAAAATTAAAAGACAGCGAGCAAAGTTGCATGTAAATGCTTTATTCTATTTCAGACTTTAAACAAGTTTTCTGAGTGTAGATTTCATTTTTGGGGGGTCAATGTATGAGGAAAGACTCAACATTAAGAATATTGCAATGCCAATGGTTCTTTTTTATGGAAAGTACATGTGAGATTATATATTTCTCTTTGACGCATTTTACTTCCTTTTTTTAGATTCGGAAAGAACAGGAGAATGATCAGAAGAAGCGACAGCGGGAAAATGATCTTGCGCGAGACATCAAGGCTAACAAAGTAGAGAAATCAGGCATAGTCCTCCATTGCAAAAATTGCTCCGAAGAAGCCTGCAGTCTAGATGATATCAGGTGCATCGAAGACCAGCACCACGTCGTCACCAACGACCTCTTCCTGGACAAGATTGATCTCTGTAATCCTACGAAGAAGCGACTCAGCGACGACAAATTCAGGCCCCTGAAGGATATCCACTGTGGCAATTGCCCGTATAAATGGGGCACCATGATGAAGTATCAAAAGCAAGATTTTCCGTTGATTGCTGTCAAGAACTTTAGACTCATGGATGACAAGGGTAACAAGTTTCTTTACAAGAAGTGGACGGATGTTCCTTTCGCGATACGCTCGATTGATATGGATGATCTGGGAAAGCAGGATCCAGAAGGGGTTCAGGAGAAAGGAGAATTCGAGGAAGACGATGTCTATATCGATTATCAAACACCGTACAGGTTAGTTGACGAATAGGTGTCCAAAATATCTTAGCCTCTCGAGAGGACAAAGGTTATTAATTTTTAAAGGCATCAGGGTGGCATGAGGGTCACCGTGATTTGTTTAAAGTGGAGCTGAATTGGTATGCTCGTATTGGCTAAATTTCACACGTTTTGGGGTCTAAAATTACCTTCAAGGCAATTTTAGGTTCTAAAAGGGCACCAGAAATGTCATAGATAAGAATAAGAGTAATAACCATGCACTTTGAAGGCATTTGCGGTCTGAAAACAGAACTCAACTATCCTTTTAACAAGTGAAGTTATCAGAATACTTCTGCCTAAATTAGTGAAGATCTACTCATGGAAATTGTGACAATACTACTAGGCGAAAATTCATATTGAGTTTAGACATTCTTCACGTAATATAATCATTATCGTTTACATCATTATAGTGACCCGGTATCAGATGGGAAACTGAATACTCTTGCAGCCCACGTCCCTCACGAGAAATACAATGACCTTTCCTGCAAACTCGGTATTGGGTACAATCAGGCATCAACAATTCTGCACAATCCCGGTAGCACCTATCAGAAAGCGACGAGGGAGTGTCTTTCCATATGGAAAAACAAGACAGGCGGAAGCTTCACCGAGCTGAAGAAGATTTTTAATGATGTTGAATTAGGTGGTGTATGGATGGAACATATGAACTAGATCTGATGAAAAGAAATCCTCGCCGAGAGCTTTTTACCTAAATGGTTCACAAAGAAAGCTTACTATTTTACTATATTTAAGAAATTGGAAAAGGATATCAAAGTACTTCAAAAGCTGTCCGTGAAGTGTTAGTAAACCCAATGGACAATCAGCCATGCATGAAGTCTTTCGTCTACGGCTGATTGTCAACGAAACGGATAGAGTTTTGTGCATAAGTCTGTACTTTATAATAGTAAATGTCAAATGCATACTTGTTTCATATAATGTCATACTGAGCTTGGATATTTGTTCATAACTCTGAACATTGTAATGGTGAATGTCTAATGTATAGATATGTTATGTAATATTATACTGAGATTAGGTTTCTGTGCATAAATCTGCACATTTGCTCGTATTGTTTCCAATATATCATATCCAACTACATGTATAACGCATTTTGATTCAGAGCACTGCACAATTCCAAAATGTATTTATTATGTACTTTATATTTGATTGACTCTAAAGAATTTACAGATTATAAAAGTCTGCGCAAAATTATGATTTTCGATTTTCATCGTGAATTGAATGTGACAGTGAATATGGGGCTGCATAAGTTTTAAATGTAAATACGCTTGGTTCTATACTGTATACCCGTTATTATTAAAATGCATATCATTTCAGTGTACGCACCATATCTTTGATGTATTTCTGTAGTAAAATTCCGATCTCTCCGGATTTGCATTCTTGTGCAAGAGTCTGCACACTTTATGATGATTTTCTATTGTAAATGTATTATTCGAAATCATGTAGGCTTCTTATTTTAAATTGGATGTGTGCCAATTATTCTGTAAAATTGCTTTTGAATGTCGGAAAAATAATGTGCGTATAATCGGGACACAAATTTTCAGAATAACGCATGAGTGCATTATTTGTTTCGTTTCATATGACGTAAAATGTAATACGCATCAGATTTTTATGTATCTTATAACACAGAATTCAGTGAAGACGCGCAAGTCCTTTGTTGCACGCAGTTGCCCTTCATTTCACGTACAAAAAGGTGCCATATCTGTATAAGCCTACAATGAAGTTAAAGTACCAGAGCGAAGGTTTATAAATGATTGTAACCTTAATAATGTTGGCATCATTACAAAGGGGTTGTTGCGATCTTCCTAAATATTCATATATATTTGTTAACAATTTTACGAGTTCGGTTTCCCTGTAGATGATAGAGATGCTGGTTTGAGGGGTGCGGGCAACTTGAATTTTACGAGGCTAGATCCAGCTAATACATATGATTGGTCAGTTAAGAAATGAAACTCAAGCTGTGGATATGTTGTATTTTTTCTTCAAATTGTGTGAGTTAATATTGAAATCAATCAGTCAGTACTCTTGTTGATTTTCAAAACTAGTAAAATTACTTCTCATGACATTGTGCACACTGCAAAGTCTTACAAAGTCTTTATGAATTATGATATTATGATGATTCTATCTAATCTATCGACAAATCTATCGTTTTCCATAGCCTTTTTTACATGTTCAATATGCCATTCTAAATTGCTTACAGTGAAAGGCTGCGATTACATGTAAAAGAGGCTTAGTATATTTTGTTGATCTAGTAGTATCTATCGAGTTTGGTGTTCATGATTTAAGTCCCACAAATTATGGCTGGCATCTACAGACTTCGTCAGCGTTTTGATATGACAGCCACATATTCCGGAGGTACATATTTGTATTGTGATAAAAAGTTGAAGATGGATATCCTACACTTTGTTTCTTTAATATCATTTGTTATCTTACAGCCTTTTATAGGCTTATTATCTGATAAGTGCACATGATACGTATTGTATGCAACACCTTTGCTATAGAAAATGACACAATGAGTAAGCTTCTGTAAAGGGGGTGTATTGCATTCATGAAGCATAACAAATTGTTGATTTCAGAGTCTTTTTAACAACAGTGTAAAACATTCCATTTCATTGAAGTTCATTCAGGGCCTACACTTCATTACTTATAGTAAAACTGTAAAAACTCTAGAAATGGTATTTGTAATTTTGTAGACATCTGCATGCAAACTTTTAAAGAGCCAGTGTGTTCAATGCGGAGTACATCCTACCTTCACCGTAATAATAATAATAACAATAATAACTTGACCGTAGGTGATATATGCTCCGTATCATATCCAACTGTTTGAATTACATATCAGTTCATGAGTCGTCAATGATCTCTTGATTTTTTTTCTCCTCGTAAATTCACTTGCATTCGATGTAATTATGGTATTGCCATGCATAGCTCTGCACAATTTAATGATGAATGTCAAATTAAAAATGCTTCATTTGATGTCATATGTAATTGTTAAAGAGAAGGTTGAGTTCTGGGAAGAGGTGAAAAATAATTTGGGAGCGTTATCATTCTTATTATGCAAGTGTGGAAGAACATCAGATAAGACATGTTCCCTGAAAAGCATGGCTCTTCAAATGCCTTCATATTCTAAATATGTCATGTAACATCTTAAAAATCCGGGTAGGATTTTAACCCCATGTGTTCGTGTAGTCCCATATACATCTTTCTGTGTATAGTGTTTGCAACTTTACCAAGACTTGGCCAAATTTCTTATTATTTTGATGATTCCAGAACCTTGCAATACACACAAATTCTTACATGCTAGATGATCAACCTTTTCTGGTCGATTCCACACCATTTCTTTCACAATGCAATCGCATGACCAGAACTCAACTTTATCTTTAAGAACGGAGATAAGCCCATAAATTAGTAATGAATTGAAATGTGCTGACATAGTCATCCGACTATTTATACCAAGTTTGCTATATTAGTTGCGTAGTTTTTTCTTTTTCATAAGTCTTTGCGTTCATGATGTTGATGTAATGGTTTCTTATACGATTTTATATTGATTATATTTTTGCATATTAATACAAATGATGTGTTACTGAAATACGTCCATCAATGTGTATGAGGTTGTAAAAAAATGAACATTTGAAGTGCATAAAGGGAAGTATTTGGGATTGAGAGAGAGAGAGAGACAGACAGACAGAGAGAGATAGGGGTAAATACTTGTACAACGCAGGGGCCGGAATTTAATAAGGTAAATAAAAACGAGATCACATATATGACATATGCAATTATGAAAAGTAGAAGAGAAAAATATAAGGGAGTACGAAGCAGAGGTTTTAGCGTACCATGTGTACGGAATCCTTGAAAAGCTTAATTTCATACAGGGAAAACAAATATTTATAACAATATGAGGGCAATTAGACAAAAGGGTTAACAAACATCCCCTCAAAAATCAGGAATGTAATGCAATTTCATTATGTTTTCAGCAGCTGTACTAGACTTATGAAATTTGAATTTAAACATTTTCTGTTGAAATTGACCCAATAACAATCATTTATATGTGGGTATTTCACAAAGCTGTTCGTAAAGTTACGCACGTTTTTCCGAATGACTTAAATATGAATAGCCAAATGGGAATGCCAATCATTAGTAACTGCATCAACTAAAGTTGAACTGTGCAGATGTAGATTAACATTCTTATTAAAACAACCATTTGTTGCCATCATTTAATTGAGGTTATTGGAAATATAGTCATACTTTGTTAAAACATCTGGGGGGAGGGGGTGTTTCATCAACTAAAAACTGTGGGCATCCTATATGGTACTTCATATATAAGTCGTTCGTTAAGTCATGCGTAACTTTACGAACAGCTTTTTGAAACAAACCCCTGAACTAAGTAGCAAATATTAGAAAACATAGAACCCCCTCCTCCAACTAGAATTCAATTGTACTTGGCCTAATTTCGACTGTGACATCAAATTGATAAACAGAATAATTTGAAGAGCCTTTCTTATATCCTGTTTTTACTTCTTCTTCTCAAGCTGATCTCTTTCCATTAAAAAAAAATCCTCCTTCTCCTCCTCGTCCTTCTCCTCCTCCCCTGGCTCCTCCTTCTTACCGTAGCACACGAGGCCGACAAAACAAAGGAATAAATAAGAAAATATTGGAAATGTTAATTCCTCAGGGCTGTCGTTCTCAAGGGGTAGCTAATTCGTAGTTAACAATGATTATTGTTGTGCAACATGTTAACATAATTATGGCATTTTCATGAGAAAGCTCAAGTGTGTAATCCCCATTCTATAAAAAAAAAGCTATTTTGAAATCCATTGGTTGGTTGAAAATAGCTATGCCACCATTTACCACATCTATATTTTTTAAAAGAAGAACTGAAGCTTGTGTTAGCTTGTTTTAGTGCAAATGTAAACGATTACTCCACATAATAGGATGTTGTCAGTTAATCATTAATCCTCTGATATAAAATACATAATGGCCCGAATTCACAAAGCAAGGTTTGAGCTCAGACCAAGGTTTGAGCTCGAACCTCCTTTTGTTCTTTACAAACCAGGTTTGTAAAAAAACACGTAAAACGCGTCATATGACGTACGAAAACCAAGGTTTATCGACAAACCTCCTTTGTGAATTCGGGCCTTTATGTTTAATGTACTTAACATAAATGATATATATTTTTTCAATACCAAGTGAACGGGGTACTTATCACCTTCGCACTTTTTAAAAACAATGTGATATTTGTACACAGGGGCGTACGCAGGATAGCGGGGGTGGGGGAGTGGGGGAGGGGGAGGGGGTAAGGTCACCTTGTTTTGGTCACCCTTTAGCACAATTTTTTTTGTATTAAAAAAAAATTGAGGGGGGTTTCCTCCAAAACACACACATACACAAATTTGAGGGGGGTTCGTTCGACCCCCCCCCCCCCCCCCGTCCCTGCGTACGCGTACATACGGTAGTGAGGCATGTGCCTCTGGTATCACTGCTGGAAGAGGATACAAGGGACAGATCACCGCTTTTTACGAGTATGTAATAAGTTCTGTGCTGTTTTCCTAAATTCAAAATTACAGTTTTAACGGGAGTTTGAAAGGGTAATTAACATACTGTGAATGAAATCTAAAGCGATTCAGACTAGAGGATACAATTCAGCAAACACAAATAATGCTATTCCTGTCATTATGGTTACATTTATCACTTAAATATGAAGACAAAATTCAATTTAAATTACATTTGAATCGAGTATTGCTCGCTCTTCTGTTCGAATGACGTGGCAATCACAGATTCTAATCTAACACTGATTTGCCTCTTGAGTCAAGCTTAAAGGTAATACAAAGTTTTGGTTATATTTCAACAGGATTTGATTATGAAATTTAAAATTCTCATTACCATTGTGAAACCTAGTGTTGAAATAAGATTTTTTGTACAAACTGGGCTCTCAACGCTAAGGATATTGAGAAAACAAAATACCAAATTTATCGGTGCTCTCGAAGAATTTCAAATAGGCCTACGGCCAAACAATGGTAGGATCGACCATAAAAATCTCGTAATATGCAGTTCTGACATACAATTTCCAAACGGCCGGGGAAAGCAAATCGGTCGATTTTAGTAAAAAAAAAAATTTTAAAAAAAACGTTGCTTTTAGTTTTAAGCAGTGGCAGGATCAGCTATATAATAGTGGCTGGATAATGGTTATGACCCTACTTTATACATTATACGGACATAGGCCTACGTATATGCCTATAACACGATAAGTGCGTACAAACAATGGTTCGACACGCACATGCTAATACATGTATAAGACTATTGCTGATGACTGATGCTAAGACTTTTTCGACTGATGCTGAGTCAGTTCGGGGAATCCCCTTCGTGCGCATGGTATTGCGAAATCACATCGTCGCACCCACACCGCTCATTTGTACCTTGCTACTACCCTAAGGTTATTTTCTTGCAACAAATCGACTTGACAGTTTTAATATAGCTTCTATTTCGACATAGCGGAGTTGTGATTACTTGAATATAACTCCAGATTATCTTAAATTAGATCAATGTCCTTTGATCTGTTTCATTTACTAGTCATCATTTTGTCATCATTCTTCTTTTAGTTTATTTTTGTAAAATTCTATAATAGATTTAACTGAGCACGGAAAATAAATTTCAAGGAGAAGATTGCCATTCACAATATGAAAGCATAAGTCATACAATTCTACCATGGTTTTGAGGTATAAAAAACCACACACACACTAAATTTCATTACTACTGTAATACACGAAGAATTACAGAGCACGGACATAATAACCAATATATATTCAAATATCGTCTGCTTTGAGCCAGGAGGACTCTATGGAAAAAACGATATGAGAAAGCAGAAGTATAATGGGGGGGGGGGGGGGGGGGGTCAAGATAATACTGATCCAACTAGCGCATATTATGCTATTTATGTTCTCATACTTTATTGCATATACCGTCATATTTCTGAAGTGTCACTTTTTAGATGAAAATTCTAGGGTGATAATGATCAAATTAGTTCAAGAAGGAAAGCTTACATAATCTTAATCTTAAATAGTCTAAATAATGTGTAGTATTATATCGTCGATTTTTAGTACAAGCTCGAGTCGGAGATTGAGCAACGCGCCTCACGATATGTCTGCCACAATTATTGTCGAATACACACAGGCAGTGTATAATCTGTTCACCTGTTATGAATCTGCAACCTGGGCACGTTCTGGGGGAAGCTGGCTGAATGTCAACACACAAATTCCCCGCCATTGGAAATTCCCGTGTTTAGAAACCTGGGATTCCCCAGCCGTCAACTGCAAAACATCTCGTAGTCTTTGTTTGCATACTCAATTCTAACCGGAATCGTTGTTTGTCTATTGAATAGGATGTCTGAGATTTTATGTAAGCCAAATTTGTGCACAAAATCAATTGTCTTTATAACAAAAATAATGTGTAATGATTTAAACAACATCGCTGCTTAAATGTCCATCAACATGATCTTGATCTCTTAACAGAGTCAGAAAAATATAGCCTATACCACCACAGTGTGGGGATTCCCACGTACTGAATTACTAGACCTCAAAACTCCCCTCTATGACGTTTCTTCACACTTGTATCACGCTTGCCTATTGGTTTGTATTCGAGTGGACCATGGATATTGTCTAATCACAAACAAGAGTTTATAGAGCATCATATATTGTATTCTGAACTGAACTGAAATGTTAGCAGGACTTATCTTATCTAGCCGTTCTTATCTATGTGTGGAGTACTCGTTGTTGGACAGACAGTTAGAAACTAGACAGGAAAAGGCGCACTGATACATTTGAGCTGTTAACCAGTAGACAGACTAAACTTACATGTCACTCTCTCCCGTTCAGAGCAAAGAGAAACAACTCGGTACTGCATTGCAACTAGAACGCTATAGCAAGCAGAAGTCTGTCGTGATATATTTTTGCTGCTTTTGGTAGGAAGTTGAGACTTTAGGATCAAGAAGTGATGGCCGCGGCCTCGGTGGATGCCCCAGCGTTGGAGGAGGCGGAGGAGAATAAGTTTAAGGTCATCACGGAGGTCTATCGACCTCTACTCATAGAGGTCCTGGATGTCAAGGATATTGTAGAAGCTCTCAAGATACAGTTTGGCGGGGGTGATGGTAAGATTATGTTTTATATCTTTCCAATGTACCAATTCTTAAGCATTTTGGCATATTTTCTGAAATACGTTTGAATTAACAAGTTAAAGGTACTATGTCCCTTTTGCAGCCAACCTCGAATTCTGTAGATCTTTGCAGGAATTATGAATATGTCATGTATGTCCTATCTGTGAAATTTAAACGTTAGGCAGTGTCCTAATATTCAAATTTTGCAAGGAAACCCATTAACTTGCTAGACTTCACTGTCAGACACTATTGAGTGACTGACTGGCTTTTTTCCTTCTTTGGTAATAACATACATAAAATGAGCTGTAAAGGGTACATGCGCATTTGTCTACATTAATAACCCACTTCTTGTGATGGCCAAAATTAAACTGATTGAATCTTTGCGCAGCATAAAACGTATGACCATTCGGTACAATGGTCTGAAATTTCAAGACTAGATGTATTTCTTATTGGCTCTATAGCTCCTAAGTCGCTTTCACAACTAATAGTCGTTATTTCCCCCACTTGAAGACATTTTCAAGCCCCACCTTTTTAAGGGAAGTTCTAAATTAGTATTATCTTTCAAATGCCATTGGAATTTAACCTTTTCATTTTTTGGCCTGCAAATGGGACATAGTACCTTTAAAGAAGCCATCAAAAGTGCGGTGTATGATCAGTCGGAGAACTTTCAGCATAGTCAGTTCTCTGTACATAATTATACAGCAGTGGAAAATCACTTATTTGGGAGTCATATTGGGAATCTCTTTTGTTTGTTTGGGGGGGGGGGCGGGAGTTCATTTCAAAGCCAAAAATGGTGGGATCCACTCTAAACAAAAAAAATCTTCCACAACTTTGGAGTGATTTTTTAGGTATGAATTCAAGTATTCAACTCCAAAAAAAATTGCCTAATATGACTCCTAGAAAACGTATGTTCTGCTCCTGTGCATAAAAGTACGTCTATTGTGAGATTGGTCATCACATCGCATGCATCAACATGTGGTAATGAAAATATTGATCTCTAAAATGATAACATTGCAAGATAGGCATACCCTATTTTTTTAAAATGAAAAATCAATCATTCAGGAATACCTATTGTCAGATTGTTCATTGAGCGATCATTGCTACCAAGAATTTTAAAGAGATAAGAGTCCTATCTAGCTCATTCCCTTTGTACCATCTTCGATGCCGCCAGAAGAAAATATGTCAGGCATGTGCTGGATGTTCCTTGCAGATACGTAGACAAAAGATTCCTGCCTAGCTGCAAACTGACGGGTCACTTTCAAAGGGAAATATGCTTTTGTAATGATAATTAATTTTCGCTACCACACGTCTGATAATACGAACAGTACACAGTGCTTACCTTTACAGGAGGCAAGCGAAAGGAAATGGAGCAAAATTTCCTGAAATATTAATCAAAATTACTCGACTGGGCATGTGTGCTGGGCACTAATCTGACATATAACATCATAAAGAACTGTACATGAACAAATTCACTTTTTATTTATTTATTTTCGTGAGCCGGAAGTAATCGGAAAAGTGTCAAATTGCAGGTTTTAGGACTGTAACATGTACTATTTTTCACAAATTAAAGCTGCTCTCATACAATCTAAGCAAATTTCTTGACACATTAAGGTTTTTGTATTCATATTTTATCATCTGTTCGATTTTCCCCTTGTTATTACAAATAAAAAGTGAAATATTATAAGGATATTTCTTTGTTTAAACAAAATCACTAGGGCCTACTCAAGCTTACAAATGATATTGGCGGCTTCGAACCTCGGACATCAAAGGTAACAGCACACCAGTAGATTATTGTGCAACCATCGAAAACGGCAGCTGCTTTGAATAATTTGTTGCCAGTTGGGTCTCCAGCTCTTAAAACTCCTTGTTGCTACAAAGCTATTGATATATAGTTCCATACTTAGCCTCAGCCGGTTCAATAATTACAAAGTACATAATCACAATTTCACATCTGTAGAAAATGTATTTCAGTTCAGTATACATTCTGTAATAACTCGCGCAACTCCGCACACCTCTATTCACTTCCCGACAGGCATTCGGTCGGTGACCTAGTTTTACACCGATTCTCTTTTTGCGTCATATTTTCTTTGTTGATGTCATAGGTCAGCCTTGCATTTATGACAGATGTTAAAAAATAGTGTTGAACAAACAGCAGGCCCGTGCAGTTTCTTACAAATTACAATAGGGCCTACATAATGTAGATGTACAGGTTGTAGGTTTATAGACTCACACAAAAGACAAATATATTTGACATCATTGTGTATCGTATCCTGGATGTTCGATAAGGGGGGGGGGGGACATATCGTCGTGTCATGCATGTATTTAATGAAAGTAAGACAAAATTCCCGAAAAGTATCTCATGTACCGCTCCCCTAATAAAGGTAATGCAAAATACAGTCAAACATGTTTTACTGGCCATCTCTCTATAAAGTTCATTTGTCTATAATGAGCATGTAGTTTGTTTCCTTTGTATAGCAGGAGCCTCAGAAGAGGCAAAACCTACACACACACACGCATTGCGTTTTGCGACCTTAGTTTGCGGTGTGTGCATGTCACTAAGGAGCTTTGGTAACGAGATTATTCTTAATAAGGACCAGTATAATAGGCAAAAAGATGAAAAGCGCTTAAGTTTCCTTACTCCTCTTGTTATAATGTTATTGATTATTGTATGATTGAAATTAATATTTTCACTTAAGTAGTAAAAGACCACTCCGTTACAAATATCGGGTCCTTTGTTTAGGGATTTTTTTTTTTAAACAAACAAGAGTTGAGAAATAAAAGTATTTTCAAACTCTTTGCTTAATACGCTCTCACTTGAAAGTTTAAGCAAAAATGATAGTGATGATGTTAATATGATAGTAGTACTAGTAAAAGTGGTAATGTCGTGGGATGGTTTGGGATGAGATACCCGGGGTGGAGCGTGTTAGGGAGTAGAGGGAACTCAATGAAAGCTCAGGGACACCAGATCTTTACTTAAGTCTTTATTTAAGTTTACATGTATGAAAAACCACAAAGTCAAAAGCCTACTGGTGGTCACCAACCACCGACACGTCCGGAAACCGCAGGAAACCTGGTCATCTTAACTTAAGACGCTTGTACACACAGGTCAAGATGGAATTTTCTTTTAGCCGGCAATGATTGCATGCCCGACTTGCTCCAGAATCAGAGCATGTTATGAACTAAATAACCACGCTGCCGAAATTCATTCCAACCCGGTACCCATCCCTTTAAAACAAATTATGCCCAACCTGTGATGTCACACATCTCAACAGTGTTCGGAGAGCTCTTCAGGTGCTATGCCGGGGCTGTATTTAAGCGTTTTGTAACTGATAATAACCATTACTTCGAATGTTTCCTAGCATTGAATTTTGCTAAAATTGTCCAATTAAAGTTTCACCTTTGTAATAATGAAAGTAAAGTTAGTTTTTAAAATCTTCGCACAGCTACTTTAAAAGGCAAAAAAATCCTTTGTAATATGTTTATTTGTATGAAAGGACACAAATAAAAAGAAAAGCAGAATGACGAAGTTTTTAATGAATGTAATTAATAATAAGATATTTATAAATGTTTGAAATTGGAGATCACTAGAACTATCCGAATCTTAAATTAACAATTTGGTCAGTGGATTGTGACCACTGAACTGAAAATACGTACTATTTTCAGATCGTGATATGACACCCCCCCCCCCCCCCCCCCCCGGTTTCAAATATCATTAATTTCTTCTTTTTTTTCCCTTGAGGCACTGCTCAAAAAATATTATTAGAGGTCGTCTAAAAAGAAAAGATCCCTGTGAATCGTGTATTTTTTTGGGGGAAAAAAAAAGAAATTTTACTTTAGGTGGAACTGTGGAAAGTTGTCCGGCACGACGTCACAGCTACATTAACGATTCATCCAAGGTGAAGTTCCCATACACCTGAACATATAACCTTTAACAACCTTTAAAATTCACGACTTTCTCACATTTTGTCCGATTTTGTTCAAATTTTACCAAGCTGCTTCTCTGATTTTGCTACTTTCTTTTGACTAGTTTTTTTTATACCTTCATATTCCGTATTGATCTTGCTGAACAACTTCATATTACTGTGACAATTTCCATTTTCTAATTCTTATGTTATTCTTAGCGAAATTCAACGAAGTGCTAGAGTTGATTGAAACAGGCGAAAGAAGAAAAATTGTAGCAGAACGATTTATGGAGGCACTTAAGGTTAAAGAAGACAAAAGGGGTCTCTATCGTGCTGTGATCGATGCTTTGATTGCTTCAGGTAAGAAACAATCAAAGATCAGACGAGATGGATATTGAGAGAGAGAGAAAGAAAGGGAGATAGAGAGAGATAGAGAGAGGGATTAATAATGCTTGCCAAAATCGAGATATATTTTGAACTGCTAATATGGAAACGTTTTACAACGCCAATGGGCCAACGGGCATCGAATCTCCGTTATTCCCATCCTCACAGCCCCCATAAAAATGAACACCCGAATGTTTTTCCTCTACTTTTTCTTCTTCTCCTCTTTCTCCTTTTGTTTTTCTTTTCCTATTTATCCTAGATCATTGCCTTTATCCTTGATGTCATATAAATACATAACTGGTAAACTGAGACGGACTGGCATAGGGATATATTTGTATATGGCTGGTTGATATTTAAATATTTGTTTCAAAGAGAGAGAGATTGACAAAGGGAGAAAGGAAGAAAGAAACGCATAATCTTGAAATATAGTGGGCTGGTCGCGCTGCACTTCTGCCCCTGTTGATTCAAGTTCTTTATGTTCTTCTCTTTCGTTTGTCTCCCGTCTTACAGAGAACGACGCAATAGCTGAACATCTGGAAGGAACGTCTGAATTCAACACCAAGAAAAGGGAACATTATCGCTCCTTTCTTTGGGTCTACGCTAATCGATTGGAGGATATTGAGCCTCTAAGCCTTCTTACCTCATTAGAAGAACATCTTACTAAACGAGACGTCGAGAAAATACGAAAAACGGTACGGGAAAATGGTTTATATTTGCTTATTCTATCTTTCCCTGTCTAAATACTAAGCTGTTTTAATTCCCATCGTTATATGTCTTTCGGACCCTCCAATACGTTACTATCCAACTCTTAACTCTATTGTTTTACAATGTTTATTTTTAGTATTTTTAAAAGTGATTTTCTCAAATTCACTAAAGGGGTAGGCCTTTTTAATAATAGTGATTTAAAATGAATTCAATGGGAATCAACCTGGTCGTTCAAGGAAAATACAACTGGAATTAAAGATATTAAATGGATTACAAATCTTAAACATGGAATTCATGATTTGATTCGCTATTTCTTGCTTTCATAAATATTTCCAACCAGATTTGGCTTCATGCACGTAATGTTGTCAAGAAAACGTAATCTGAAATATAATAACGTTATGAGCAGGTTGAACGTGAGGGAAATTGTGCCGGTGCCTCAGAACTTCTCCTAAGACTGGATCGTAAGTCAGAGGACTGCTTTGGAGAGTTCATCAAGGCCCTAGACAGGAATGGCTCACACAAACTCGCCAAGGAGATGGAGGAAATGAAAAATTTCGCTCTGGGAATCGGTGCAGATGACGAAGTTGACGATGGTGAGAATGAGATTGGATTTAATTTTTGTTTTACAATTAGTCATCCATCTATTATATCATGTATATTATTTATTGTGTCATTACAGAATGTATTCAACATTTGTATTCTATACTGTCTGAACCTTTGTTATTCTAGCAAAACAAAATACCATATCAAACGTACATTGGACAAATAAACATGAAATCAAAGTTCGTGTTGTTTGCGAAACACTTATATAATGTTACGTTTCACTCCATCTGATTGACTATCATCTTTGAAATAGTGAATCACTAGACACTTATTCATGAGAATCAGAAAGGCGGTTTTCTCCTGTCATTTAACACAGAGTAAATGTCCGGCTGGCGAAGGTAACCATTAAAAACAAATGTGTGTGTGAGTTTCAGCCTGTGCGTATGCGTGTGTTTGAGGGGGGGGGGGGGGGGGGGGTAATCACCGGTAAACATAGGGAATTGATAATTGCTAGGTAGCTGTATGAATGCAGATTAAAAGAAACAAGATTGGGAAAACCATTAAGAGTAACGTTTTAAATACGCCTATCGACAGAGCAACCTCACTAGTAAAGTGGAATTACGTCTTGCTTCTGGTATCCATGGTAATTATTATAAAGGTAACGGCGAGGACATTCCAATTGTCGGCAACGTGTGTCCATCAAGCGATAAGGCAGAGGAATTAGAACTACGGGATTACCAAGAGGAGGTCCTAACTCCAGCATTGAAGGGGCAGAACGCTATGGTGGTCTTGCCAACAGGGACAGGAAAGACAGAAGTCGCCATCGCTCTTATAAGTCGCCGGTTCCTGGCCCGCAACCCTGTAGGAGCCTCTAATCATCGAAGGCAGAAGAGTGTGTTCGTAGTGAACAAGGTAAGATCATTGATTCACATTTCAATCTTGTAAGGACCCCAGGGCCCCATCTTATAAAGAGTTTATATTAATCGTAACTTATTTGCAATTGTTATCAATCGCAACTATGTACATAAAAGATAAGAGACTGCAAATTTGCGATTGATTAGAGGACTTGCGATTAATTTTGATCCATCGCAAGTCTTTATTTGACTGGGCAAAAATTCCTCTTTTGTTTAAGAATCAATTGTAGAGGTGCGCAAGAACGATCTTAATTCCTTTTTTTGCAAGGATCTCTAGTAAATCAAGAAATATCCTTAATTATTGTCATATGTACAGATCCCTTTACAAAATTGAGAAATCCTTCATACTTGTCTATATAAAAACAGAGGGTGTATATTTAAAGAGCCCCTGAAAAGGGTAATTATATAATGCAGTGAACATCTTAAAACTCTTAAAATGTTTCATCCCTGTCTCGATAACACGAAGAATGTTCTAAGGGTAAAACCGATATGAACCGCCAGTCATCTACATGTATGGTAGAGAAGGGTATTTGTAGCGAACAAAATACTAGTACTCTTACAAAATCCTCTTCGAGAACCAACTGGATATTACGGAAATGTCTTCCTCGATGCATTCCTGAAAAACATCTAAATAACGTGGAAAAATATCCTTTATATTCCGCACTTTGTCCAAACTACTAACATTGATGAAAAGGTCCTTTGCTCCATCTCTTGTAATAACAAATAGAAGGCTAGATCGTAGAGATGTGTGAAAGCTCGATCAGTCTTGGTTGGAAGCGAAGACAATGTTTTAGTGCTTTTTAGTAAGGCATTAATCTTCATTTCCAAGTCTCTCGGAGAGGAATTTAAGCCGTCGCTTCGTTCCACTGGTCGTTTACCAATTACGAGCATGTCGTGCTTTCATGGCAATCACGGAAAAACAAACCATCATCATATAAAGATCCATCGTTCTACTACAGGTTCCCCTAGTGAAACAACAGAAGGACAGGTGTCTGAAATACTTGAAGGGAATGTGTGAGGTCGCTGGAGCTAGCGGTGAAGAGTTGAACCATGTGCCATTGGACATTGTCATCGATGCCAACGACATCACCGTCTTGACGGCACAGGTGCTTGTCAATGCCCTCAAAGATGAGAACATTAAGCTTGAACTCTCCGACATCGCACTCCTTGTCCTAGACGAATGTCATCACTGCCAGGTAATGTCATCTACTTGGATGTTGCATTTGCCAATTCATTCGAATATGGACCCCCACTTGTTTTAATTAAATTCATCAGGGTGGTCAATAGGATCTAGTTCTATGACATATGCCAAATGTTTTTACCTGCACAGTTCGGACGTCTACACCTCTTGCCTTGCCATAAGACTAAGATCGATGAAGGTATCGACGTATCCAAACGACCTATGTAGCTTTGTAATATTCATGTGCATTTGATTAAACCAGTATTGTTTGTTCAACAATGTGATACGAATTGTTCATAAGAAAAATTGACATATTTTATAGCATTATTTTTTGTCATCATTGTTTAGTAGAGGTCTTTATAATTGATTAGCAAAATTAAGTGTTTGGTGTTACGCTCGTTTTAATAATGATTGCCTCACATTAACGGCATTTGTAAAGTATTTTTTTTACATGGCCAGGACGATTAATATCTGTCATTATGTTTTGATGTTGATTGCAAAACGTTGAAGACTGCATAAGCTTAATTGTTGCAATTGGTATTAATAAACACTTCTACTCCTTTTTTGATACAAATTAATTCGCAAGTCAGAAGGGGCTTATAAACGACTTGTACTTCAATCATGTCTCTCTTTATGTCTTTTCAAACAACAGAAATCTAATCCATACAATGTTCTGATGGCGATGTACAGGGACCTAAAGCTGAACTCTCCGAAACTTCCAAGACCACAGGTAATGAATAACTACGATTTTCATATGGGTTGTAAAATGAAAACCCTAATGTACTTTATGTAGTCGTTACTTAATGTATACTCTGTTGAAATCATTGTTATACTGTGTTTCATATTGTACTGTTGAGAAGGAAATAAATGTTAATAAATACAAAATATAAAAAAATATAACTATCTGCATCCATTTTATTTTATGCATATATATATACATATATTTTTAAATACAAATAATGATATCATTATTTGCATGTATAGTCATTATTTTTAATATGTACATGTTGTTTTTTCTTATATACTATGTATGTGTTTTATTTATGCACGAATTTGAAGAAGAATAGCCATTGGCCGAAGCAAGTACATGTTGTTACTCCGTGTTGAAATAAATGAAATGAAATGTATCCTATTTTTCTGAAGAAAGCCAGTCTACGTATTATAGACATGGAAGCATAATTTCTTATACATTTATGGTACATAATTTGGTACACATATCAGGGGCATATTCTTTATCATGTACACATTGATAGTGATGGTAAAGAACTACTCTACAAACGTGATTACAGGCCCCTAGACTTTATCTATTTTTCCTGAGAATGATTCGTGCGTTGAAATTTGAGCCTTTACAAAATTAGCAACATAATAATAAATTATGTAGATATTCCTCGAACTTAAGAGTTTATAGGTGACTTAAAGAAAAATCATTCCCCCGTATTTGGTAGTTTCCTTAGTAGGTTAAAAACTATCCAGTAGGTTTTTTCTACATTTTGTAATTTTTTGTTTGTTTATAGTAAATTAGTGTTTGAATAAAATGCATGATATATACATCATACACATCTACTCTAAACATTGCTATCAGTCCTAGTATTTAGGTGACAGTACGTATAATGTAGATGTATCCTTGATATTTGAAACGCGCTTCTTTCCTATTTGACATGAATAAGATACTTGGAATGACAGCATCACCTGGTGTTGGGGATTCGAAGAACATGGTGCAGGCTGAATGCTACATCACAAAACTCTGTGCTAACCTAGACTGCATAATTTCACGACCTAAGATCTATGCTGACAAACTCAAAGCGAAGAGTAACTCACCCAAGGAAAGTAAGTTGATGTTATCACTTTTCCTATAGAAATCCTCATCTGTTTCAACGCTTTACCCCTCATGGTCCCAAACTATCCTATGTATTAGGAAATTCTTACTTTGTCGAATCTGTGAAAAGTCAAGATATTCGAGAAATATTTATCACTCGAATCAGGGAAAAAGAAGGAAAGGCATATTTTCATGAAATGATAAGGACACTGAACTCTACTTGAGTAATTTTCCTTTTGTGCAATTATATAAGTAAATATGTGTGTGTGACTTTTAGGGAGTTGATATAATAAAATATTAATATATAACATACGAGAGTTAATATATTATGTAAACAAAACTTTTCAAGTGAAGATAAAAGTGGTTATTTTATGCAGTTTAATGATGTATATTCTTTCTATAGATGCTGCAAAATGAGAGTAATTAAGTTAGAGTTTATTATGTTAGAGGAATTATACTTACATGTATTTATGTACAATGTTACCTCGTGAAAATAGTTTACAGGAACTGATAACTTTATAAAAACTCTGTCAATAATAAATGTATAATGTTTTCATTTATCGTCGACCAGTCAGTTGCCTACACAAAGTTGCTCAAAAGAGGTGTTACAAGTTGACAGTCAAAACATTTTATTTCTTTTTAAGAGGAACAGAGAGACTGATACATTGTGTTTCTTTTTATCGTACAGCTCAGATAATAGTGAAAGGAAGACCTCTTGAAGATCCTTACTTCCGTGAGATCAGTGTCATCATGGAACGCATCGAAGATAAAATCAAACTCGTAGAAGGTACCTCTCTCTCTCACTTAGATTTAAACCAGATGCCATTTTTTTTCTTCACCCAATCACAATTTACAGAATACTTAACCAATTTTCAGGGAGCAACTATAGGTACTAACAGTAACATACTTTAAAAAAAAATCTTTCAAGTGAAGATGAAAGTGATTTGATTATGAATAATGTATATTCTTTATCTAGATGCTTTAACAATGTGAATAAATAAATTGTAGTTTAATGTTTTAAACGTTTATAAAATTAACAAAGGTAACGGGGAATATACTCAAAAATAGTGTTAAAAAGTGATGTAGCTAAATCCCCTAAACGAATAGGGTAATTACAGTTGATAATTGATTACGAGTACAAAAGATACAATATGAGTGCTTTTTATTTTTACACAGCCGGAAGAGCGCTTGTGGAGGGGAATGACGAATTCACTAAAATGGTATCTCGTCGTGGCGCGCAAAGCTATGAACAGGGTGTGGTCAATTTGAAGAAGAAGATTCAAGAAACGATAGAAAATGAAGACGACAGGAGAGAACTAATGGCATGTGTGAGCTACCTGAGGGTAAGCTAACGTGAAGATGTTTTTTTGTCTGATTTATTTTTCATGCAAATGGGAGAATGTATTTCAACAATATTGCAATATACAAAGTGATGTATACAGACATTTATGTTAATATAAACAGACATAATCTTAACATATAAATACATATCACTTAAACAATTTGATTAGTATAACAAGTAGATATCGTAGCAGTTTTACAAACATGTTGGATACACTATTCACAGATATTCATAACTTATTATAAGCACTTATCCAGTATCAAACTGATAACGTGCATATAAAATGATAAGCCATTTAAAAAATAAATTCTTAGTGTGTCCCTCGCCATATGAGTTTGCTTTACACTCGATTGTAACATTTACAAGAAAACATTATTATGGAGCCATCGCAATTGTTCTCTGTTTAGGAATACAACAACAGTTTATTCATAAATCGTGATGCACGTACGTCAGATGCCATCTCCTACATGGAGGACTACATCAATGAAGAGGAGAGGAGTAGTCCTTCAGGCCCTGCTGATATGATCCTTAAGAAAATGTTCAGAGGTTGGTGATCAATGTATCGATTAGGATTGTTTGTATTTTAGAGTCTATTTTTAGAACTTACTGAATTACTTGAAATACACAGGGTCAATTTATTTACATTTTTTTTTATTTATTTAATGTATTTTTTGTTTAAATACAGGGTGGCATAGCCAGTGATTTTTACATTGTAATCCTTAGGGCCTTGCAAAAATAGATACATGTACATAAAACTTAACACATGAGAATAAAGTTGTATTGCGGATTGCGAGTTTCACTGGTACTGTGTCTCTCTTACTTACATTATACTTGAAAGAAATGTATGTGTTGTCCGACTATTTACTCACTTAAGTACAACTTACTACTCTGTTGTCGAAACTCAACCTCGTACCGGTACGTACTGGTAATTAAGATTTTAGACTTTAGATCTTATTATAGCTTGCCATGTGTACGGTATCCTTAAAGATAAAATGCATATATTCATACAGGGAAAAATATATTAATTACAATCTGAGGACAATGAGATCAAACGGCTAACAAACATCCCGCAAAAATCAGGAATTTAATGCAATTTCACTGTTTTCAGCCTCTGTACTAGACTTATGAAACTTGAATTTAAAAGTTATGTTGTGATTGACCAAATAGCATTTCTATGTACAGATCTAAATAGCAAATATCAAATTGTACTTGGCAGTAAAACCATGTCACTAGTAGGTCAATGGATTCCAAACCGATCTACATTAAACTGAAATATTGGGTCATAGTGTTGTTAATTATTTGCTGGTTAATAATATCTATATTTATATTTTCCACTCAGATGTTAATACTTCATATTCTCGATAAGTCCGTAATTTGCCCTTACAAAAATGTACCATGGTAACCATGGTACTTTTGTCCAAATTCCCATCCACCATGGTAACCATGGTTATCATGGTACCAAAACAATGAAATACATTGGGTCATTAAACAATTTATTTCATTGTTTTGGTACCATGATAACCATGGTTACCATGGGGAATGGTGATTTGGACAAAAGTACCATAGTTACCATGGTACATTTTTGTAAGGGTGTCCATCTTAGTCAGTTGTTAAGGCATTTGTTTAATCGTGAATGTCCAGATAAACTTCAGACTTTGAACCGAATCGCTAATCTGCATATGAGTATCAACCCCGTCTTGAATGAGCTTGGCAAGCAACTGAAGAAGGCATATGCAGAGAATGAGGAGTCCCTTAGCATCATCTTTACAAAGACCAGAGCGTCTGCCAAGGCTCTGGTGAAGTGGCTCAATGAAGACCCTGATCTGAATGGCATCAAAGCTGACATGTTGATAGGAAGTGGTAATCAAGGTAGAGTTGTGATTCTATTTATCTTGTATATTAGGACAACTTCTTAAGATATAATTATTAATCCCAATTCCGTACGAAGTTCATAGTATTGGAAAGATATAACATTAGAAAAAAACGTACCCTTTTCCTACTTGGTTCGCTATTATTTGTTTGTTCAATGTTATGATTTGTTTTTATATCGTTCTTTGCATATTGTTGTAAGCGCTGTGATAAAGTTAAGTATGAATAGCCTAGCTAAATACCTAATAATAATAATAATTATGCAGATTTTACACATTTTTATCTTTAATACGCATCCTAGGTATGACGTCAACAGAACAAAATAGAAATCTACAGTTGTTCAAGGATAAGAAGTGCAGGATCTTAGTTACCACATCGGTCGCAGAAGAAGGTCTGGACATTAGGGAATGCAACATGGTCTTCAGATACAACTACGTGACCAGCGACATTGGTCATGTCCAAACTAAAGGTATATAGGCTTGATAAAACGATAATACTCTATACAGAGGTCTGTACTCAAAAGGAAGAAGAATGACATTGACAGTCGTAGCTCTCAATTTTGATATGGGTGTCCGCTAGCATGCTCTAGGAATGGGCAAAACCGGCAAAATATATAAATATATCTCATTTTTAAATCGAGGTGGCATCTCAAAACTGCTGTATTGCATGATCTTGGAGTTGGCCAAATAGAGTGGGCTCACTACCCCCCCCCCCCCACCAATAAAACTCTGGATTGGCCAATGGAATATAGCCATTCATGTTCTTTTACACATCTTCATTTTGTGTTGTAGGTCGTAGCCGGGCCAAATTTAACGGGAAAATCTTCGTCATCGTGAATTCCGATCTCCAGCTTCAAGACCGTGAGCTCAAGAACATCATACGGGTGGAGATGATGAACAAGGTTGTTAAAAGCATTGCTGATTCCACTCTAGTCAATCAAAAAGCATTTGATGATCGGGTAAGACATAATAATAACATTGCAAGATTAATGCGAAAAAATTTGTCAGTTTCGTGTATAATCCCATTTCCAAAAAATGTATTCATTATTGGCCTACAGGAACACTTTCAAACGTATGGCACATACTAAAAAGTACACTGCCTTAATAGTTTGAATACAGTGAATGCAAGAATACGAAATACTACCAAATATTCCCTCTTTGCCAAATAATTCATATAAATCCGCAAATATATCGGGTACAAGGAACATTAAGAAAATTGTAAAAAGTCAGCAAGCAAAACGTTTTATTTTATTGTAGCTTTTATTTGTTTTTGGTCGATGTATGAAGAAAGACTCGACATTAAAATTTTTGCAATGGTTAATTCTTTAACGAAAGTACATGTGTGATTTGATATTTCTCTTTTATGCATTTTAATCCCTTTCTTTAGATTCTGATGGAACAGAAGAACGATCAGAAAGAACGACAGCGGGAAAAAGATCGTGCGCGAATCACCAAAGCAAACAAAGTAGAGAAATCGGGCGTAGTCCTCCATTGCATTAAGTGCTTCAAAGAATCCTGCTGTCTAGATGATATCAGGTCCATCAGAAACCAGCACCACGTCGTCACCAGTGACCTCTTCCTTGACAAGATGAAGCTCATTGATCTCAAGAAGCAGCCAATAATCGACGGATTCACGCACCAGCAGAAGATCCATTGTGGCAATTGCCAACATAAATGGGGCACCATGGTGGTATATCAACAGCAGGAGCTTCCGTTGATTGCTATCAAGAACTTTACACTCAAGGATGACAAGGGTAAGAAGTGGTTTCCCAAAGCCTGGAAGGACGTCCCTTTCGTGATAAGTTCGATTGACATGGATGATCTGGGGAAGCAGAACAACTTCTCTGAAGCTGAGAATCCAGAAGGGAGTCAGCAGGAGAAGGGAGAAATCGAGGAAGACGACGGCCTCATCGAGTATCCAAACATCATGCAGATTGAAGAATAGATGATGTGAAGGGTGACTCAAAGAGAGGCCACAATATGAAGTTCGCATGGTAGACAATTATATACAATTTGTTTATGACATTGAACATCAAGAACTATCTTACTTAGGGACTGCACATGCAGGTGTCCACTCTTAGCCTCTCAAGAAAACAAAGGTTATTAAGTTTTACTGGCATGACAATGGTATAAATAAGAAATTGTTTTTTTACAAATATCTGACAGGTGCAACCAAAATGATAATCAATAATTGTGACACCGCACGGATTTGCAACTGATAATCATGCTAGACACAATAGTGTCAAATATATACAGTACAGACGATGTGATTTAATGAAACCATTTAATTTTAAATGTACATTAAATTAGTTTCAATACACAATATCTGCGTTGTGATATATTCATCATACACCATCATAATGGATGGACGCATCACAGTTAGTAACTAGTGATACCATACAGATCTTCTCTGTTATTATCTAGAATCTATGAACCTTTGAACATATCTATTTATAAAGCAAATATTACAATTTGGATAATCCACCGTCATATCAATGTACAAATAATAATAAACACAAATGAAATAAAACTCATTTAGAGTTCTAAAGGAAATTTATTTCAATTACCTGTATTGTTTGATATCAATATTATTCAATATCTAAAACTTATTTATGTAAAGAGACATCAGATATGTGAAAGAAAATACCTTTAGTCACATCGCCAGACCAAATCAAACTGACTCCAAGAAATGCCAGACAAACCGATTTTTGTCAATTAGATATTTTTGTTCTGGAACTTGTCGGTCTGGTGTCGGTTTGGCTATTATTCAAATGGTGTCTGTCTTATGGGTGTGACTGAGGTAGAATTCCAGGAATATTATTAGCATTATTATTAACTGTTTAGCCATAACATCAAAAATAAATATCAATGTTTCCGGGCTTATTGAACAGCCCTGATCAGATATGTCTAGCATTAAACAAATATTGGTTATGATTCGTTCCCGATTTAGTAGAAAACATAGCCATTAAATCCATGAGAATTGGTCATGCACGGTATATACAAACAATTATTCTCTTGATATTACCCTAATATCTGCACAATGGGTTCTACTTCTACGTGTACAGTAAAACGGACGAATGGGTAATGTTTCGTCTTTGTAGAAAGTCACCGAGTCTAGATCTACTTAACACTAAGTACCCAAAATATTATCAATTGTTCACGATTTACACGCAACAATGGATCCAACTCAATAAAATCTATTTGCTGTCAATCATGTTACATAAAATGTTGTGGAAACTTGAGTAGGCATTTCTAATGATGTGAACGGAGTAATGTTGCACTACCTTATGATGCAGATTTTGATTTTGAGACATTGCATGCACCTCTTAATAGATTAATCTGTGATTTTCATGTCTGTCAATTATTTTTGCCATAGCAATCTCTTTTCAATCTTACAAGCATTGAAAGGAATAATGATATAATTTATTGATACACCTTTTTAGCACCCATTCCCTACGAACAGACATATTTGTCTAGAAATGATGTCTACGACAATTTTGTTGTTAATCTCATGTCACATGTCTTTGCCGAAAGCAGAATATGTTACTAACAATGGGCTATAAGTCTCATAGACAGATAATTTTGTAGCTGTGTTTTATTACTAATGCTATTATTAGTTTGATGATGAAGTAATGATACTTATGACGATAGACGTTAATATAAGCTTGGCCGCTTGGCCTTTCTATCACGGCTTCTAAATTAAACAATTAACAAATTCATTCTATATATAACGAAGAATGAAGATTAGTAAACTTTGAAATATTCACGTCTTTGTGTAATAGAAAAATGATAATGCCTTACATATGTAGTTCTTGATTATACAAGTGTGTAAATAGCTAAGTGTAATGTGGTTTATAGAAAAAACAGTTGTACATGTAAGCTTTTCTTTTTCCAAAGATAAAGAAAATATAATGAAACTATGAATATATGAAATCCAATGACATTATTGTTCAGGTAGCTTGATACATAATGACCAGCTTTAGGCTGGTTCTAAAGCAACCATCGCAAACAATATTATAATCATAAAATACATTAGTTTCCAGGTATGCATTTCGTAGTTGTTTTTTAGTGGTTGTTGTTCTAAAGAAATTGTGTTGTTTCTATGTTCCTTTCATTATCATAAAGAAGAACGAAGAGACTATACTTGAGGATAAAATAAACCTATACAGCTCGTCCACTAAAACCGATTGATATGTTAATTATTGTTATCATTAATTTATTTCATTTTCATGAGTATTATTATTTCATATATATATATATATATGTATATTCCCTTTTTAAACTTAGCTCTATGTACTCCGTTTTTATTGAAACTACACTTGTACTTGTTGGCTACGCGACAACTACGTGCTATTGAAAGCTGCTGCCTAACTTGGAGGGAGAAAGTTCTAAATGTTAGGCATACTGATGGGCATGATGGGGGTTGCGAGGTCCAATAAAATGGAAAGACATAAGGTTGCACACCCGTAGCTAAGTGAAAAGAAGGAACTATTCCCTTAATGATATACCCCTGGAGAACTACTCAAGAGGACCATCATAATTAACCCCTGTTCCGGAGGTGACCTAGAGGTCCGTAATATTATTCGTCGTCTTCTGTTTATCTTCAAAGGTTTATGCAGTCTATCACGAATTACCAGTTGTGTATACAGGCACTCAAAACACCAGGTTTACACCATACCCTTTGCGAGAAGAAACAGCTCAAATTAAACCAATGGCATCTAAATGAAACGTGACAACGATTTTATTTTTATTATTGACGATAATAATGTGGATGTATAATAATATTACCCCTGCAGAAGTCAGCTTACCATTAAAGATAAACTTGAGTTCTGGTTAAAAAAGAAAATGAATTCTCACAGAATCTAACGAAACTTACACTGAATGTTCAAGATTACAAATAAATGTCATGTGCCGACAATTTTGGAAGAAAATGTATACTGGCTGAGTAATGAGCATAGAAAGATAAGGAAATCAGGGTAGTACTAGCCCCGACACCATGTGTGTTGTCCCATATACATCTTTCTGTGTAAGTGATTGCTACTTTACCAAGACTCTGCCAAATTTATGATACTTGATACTTGATGAGGTAATCCCTGAAGCAGCTTTTCCAAGCTATACTGGGATGGGATGTGTTGTGACAGCAGGTGAAGGTGCAGACAACAAAAGGGTGTATAATTGCTTTATACAGTAAAACAGTGACGTGCAAGTAAAAAAAATCATGCTGCTATATGGTTTACAGCATTCTGGAATCTACAGGAGGTTCCAACCCTCTGATGACAGGGAGGACGGTCATCTGGAAAGCAGCAACTGTTGGGGCAGTAACTGCAGTGAATGGTAGTTGATTCCAGTTGATGCGAATGGTGCGGGGGTAAAATGAGTACTTGTAGGAGTCTATTGTTGCCTCAGGAACAGAGAGCTTGAGTGTGTGGTCTCTTCTGCTGATGTATGTAGCTTTGGTTATGAGATGGGGAAGACAAATGTTGACTAGCTGGTGGTGTATTTTAAAGAGCATGGTGCTTTGTGCTAGAGGACGACGTGTGTGCAGTTTATCCCATCCCAGCTGGGAAACAAGCCCTGTAGCTGACGTGGATCTTCGGTAGTCGCGGAAGACAAAACGAGCAGCTGTTTTCTGTACCCTTTCCAGACCTTCGGCAGCACCAGAAGTGTGGGGGTTCCAGGCTTCAGCGCCATACTCTAGCTGCGGTCGAACCAGGGCTGTGTATGCTCTTGACTTCACATCCTTGGTGCATGGTGACAGGGTTCTCCGCAGCAACCCAAGGGTTTTGTTGGCCTTGTTCAGTAGGAGTTGGCAGTGTGTATTCCATCGAAGGTCCTTGGTTACAGTTACCCCGAGATACTTGTACTTGTCTATCCTGGGTATTATCTCGTTGGAAATCCGGTAGTCATGCTGTATTGGTGTTCTTTTCCTCGTGATGGTAAGGGAGGCGCACTTCTTGACATTGAAAGCCATGAACCATTTCGCTGACCAGTCAGACAAGGTTTGAAGGTCTTGCTGAAGGATGGAGGTGTCATTCTTAGTGTGAATTTCTCTGTAGATCACACTATCGTCAGCAAAAAGGCGCATCTTGGACTGGATATTTGCAGTGATGTCGTTGATGTACAGCAAAAAGAGGGCTGGTCCGATCACTGAACCTTGAGGTACCCCAGAGGTAACAGGCATCCAAGATGACCGGGAGCCCTTGACAACAACTGCTTGCTGCCTGTTGGAAAGTAGCGACATAGTCCAATGTAATGTGTCTCCTCTTATGCCATAATGCTCGAGCTTGGTCTGCAAGTGGCGATGAGGTACTCGGTCGAAAGCTTTCTGGAAGTCCAGGAAAATGACATCTGTTTGCATTGTAAGGTGTGTGCCCAATCCTGGGTAGCAGAGATGAGTTGTGTGGTGGTGGAAAGTTTCTGCCAAAATCCATGTTGGTCATCTACCAGGATGTTGTTGGCAGCTACATGTTTCGAGATATGGCTGAGCACTATGTGTTCCATTAGCTTGCTGCAGATGCAGGTCAAGGAAATAGGTCTGTAATTTCCTGGATCACACTTATCACCGGACTTGTGGATGGGTGTTACCAATGCATGCTGCCATTCAGCTGGAACAGTGCCAGAGTTGTAGCTCTGCTGAAAAAGGGATCCTAAGGCAGGAGCAATCTCGTCAGCTACAAGCTTGAGGAGTTTAGGTGGAAGTTCGTCTGGCCCACAAGCTTTGGATGGGTTGAGATTTGACAGCTGCTTTGCCACACCAGGACGATGAATGTGTAGATGGCCGATATCAGGAAAGTGTGAGGAACCTTCCATACGAGCATGACAAACCTGTTGGTTGGTGAATACCGAGTGGAAGAAAGAGTTGATGATTTTGATGACTCCAGAACCTTGCATTACACACCATTACTTACATGCTATATGATCAACTTTTCTGATCCATTCCACACCTTTTCTTTCACAATGCTATCGCATTACCAGAACTCAAGTTTATCTTTAAGTGCAACGAATCAATTCGGTTGGCCTAGTTGGGACTCTCCTTATAGGGACTGCTGGTGTGACCAGCTGTAAAAAAAATGTTTATATCTGAAACGAAGATCTAACTTCTATCAAGTTTCCTAGTTGTCCAGCTAGTTGGACCCATTTTGTTGTATAGTCACAGGGATTGATCATCGGCTCCTTGGTGTGGTAGCTGCTAAGGTACTGTGTCTCACCTGCATCGAATTTGAACGAATCGAAACCATAATCTACCTGTGCTTGCTTGAGCCTTCCAACAAACCAATCGGCAGCCAATTACCAGCGGGACAATTATTTAAGGGGACAAATTGAACGGCATGATCTTATATAGATCGGATGCAGCACATTCTATTTCAGCGTCCATTAAAATCAACACAAACGACAAACAAACACACATACTCACATATGCGTGACGGTTCTAGGACAATAACCCCCTGGGAAATCATCCCCCTGCCAATTACCTGCGGGACACTTACCCCCAGGAAAATAACCCCCGAAGACAATTTTCCAGGGGGATTGTCCTGATACGGCGCGCGCGCACATACATTCTTACACACACACATGCACGATACAACTCGATCGTCTGATGACATCTGATCACACAACATGTATAATGGCAAAGGATCCTCATCCAGGCAATTAAACCATTATCAAATCTACAAGCCAGGCGCGGATCCAGGATTTCTTAGCGGGGGGGTCCCAAAAAAAAATCGCAACGACTCAGCTAGCCGCTAAATTAAGGGGGGGGGGGGGGGGGGGGGGGTTCGAGGACATTTTTTTTTGTTTCATGGTCTCGAAATTTGAAAATTTGTAATTTTGTTCCGTTGGGGGGGGGGGGTTAGGTCACCTTTTTTAGGTCAGCCATTGTCATAATTTTTTTTTTTTTTTTTTTTTTTTTTAAAAAAAAATAAAAATCACAAAAAGGGGGGGGGGGGGTTTGCTCCAAAATACACACATAAAAAAACCGAAGGGGGGGGGGGGGTTCAACCCCCGAACAGCTTTTACGTTTCATTAAATCATTAGAGAAATAAGACGATTCGTTGTACCGTTTTCGACTCTTAATCCTTGTCTGAATTTCAAAAATGTTTTTTGTCTGCTCCTTTTTCTTCATACGTCCTTTTTTTTTTCTCTCCTCTCTTTTTTGGGCCGGCGTTTTTTTTGGTTTTTTTTGGGGGGCGCCCCCACTGCCCCCTGGCTACGCGCCTGCGGTCAGATGAACATCTTTTGATACCTTGTCCGCCCCCGGAAACTCATGGGTTGAAGGCAAATTACGGTCAGATAAGCTTTCAGGGGCCCGCCTCATGGCTCCTGGTGGAGTCGAGGGTGCGGAAACCCCTGAATCTCAGGGGTTTCAGGCATTTGATTACGGTCAGATGAACATATTTTTATACCTTAATTGTGACACTGGCAGGACACTGATTGTCGTGAGGTCCAGCGGGCGGAGCACCCAGAAGCCCAGGGGTTTTAAGCATTATATTACCGTCAGATTAGCATCCAGTGGGGTCTAGGGGGCAGAGCCCCCGGAAGCTCAGGTGTTAAGGCATTTGATTACGGTCAGATGAACATATTTTTATACTTTATTTGTGACACTGGCAGGACACTGATTGGCGTGAGGTCCAGCGGGCGGAACCCCCAGAATATTAAGGGTTTTAGACACTAAATTGCGGTCAGATGAGTATCAAGGGGCCTGCCCAAGGGCCCTTGGTTGGGACCCGGGGGCAGATCCCCCGGAAGCTCAGGGGTTTTAGGCGTTTAATTACGGTCAGATGAGCAAGTTTTGATACCTTATTTTGTTGTGACACTGGTAGTTAACTATGCTTTCTTTCTTGCTCTCTTTCTTTCTATTTCTCTTTAAAATGCTTTTCCAAAAAAAATTGGGGGGGGGGGGGGGAGCTGGAGGCTCCCGATCCCCGCCGTTCCGCGGGCCCTGACATGTAGGCATCTTCAAGAAGCATATTTCTTGCCTGGCTGTTAATTTACAAACGTCTAAAAAAAGTATAATTTACTAAAGAATGAGGAAAAATCTCGAAAAATTATGTCATTTCAGCATAATGTGTAAACCACCGTTATGGAATAAGAAATAAACCACGTTTAAATGTTATTTCCCCCGAGCCCCCCCCCCCCGATCTACACTTTGTTGGCGGAAAAATCGCAACTGATCTCCCCTACCTTTCTTCTTCTTTTTTTCTTTCCCTTTCTCTCCTCTTTTCCTTTCCCTTCCCTTCCTTCTCTCTCTTTTAGGTTTGATGGGGGAGGGGGAGGGGGAGGCAAGGTCATTTCGGCCCCCACCCTTCTCCACACGTTGTTGGCGGGATTAACTGCAAATGATCTATTTCCCCTTCTTTTCACCTTTTCTTCTTTTTTTTTTCTTTCTCTCTTTTTTTAAGCGGGGCGGGGGGATGCAAGGGCATTTTGCCCCACCCCTACGCCGATCCACAACTTGTTGGCGGAAAATTGCAACTGATACCCCCTTCTTTCTATTTCCTTCCTTCTCTCTTACTTTTCTTCTTCCTCTTCTTTCTTTCCCTTTCTCTCCTCTTTCCCTTCTTTTCCTTCTCTCTCTAACTCTCTTTTTTTTTCTCCTTTTTTTTTTCCTTCTTTTTTTTCCAGGGGGGGGGGGGGCGGCCCTCCGGGGACCCCCCCTGGATCTGCGCCTGCTACAGGCTACAGTATTGTAGCGAGAAAGCCTTACAAAATCAAAGATAAACGTACATTTAAACAAAATTTAACAACCTTATTTAGCGTACTATATACCAAGACAAATTTTTGTGCACGATAATTTGATAGCGGGAGAATTGCGTATTGAAAGTTTTTTTAAACCAAACAAAATTATTAACGATAATGTGTTTTTTTTAAATTGCTCAGGCCCTACTTTATACATTATCGGGACATGTACATTCTTGTGCGTAATACAAACAATTGTTCGACACACAAGTCGACTCTCGACTGAGGCCGAGTGAGTTTCGCGTGCACAGTATTGCGAAATCACATCGCTGCACCCACACCGTCCTATGTACCTTGCGCAATTCACCTATCTTGCTACTACCCCAGGGTTGCTCTCTTGCAACATATCCACTTGACAGTTTTCATATAGCTTCTCTTTCGACATAGCGGAGTTGTGACTACTTGAATACAATTCCGGATTACGATCTAAAATTAGACCAATGTCCTCTGAATCTGTTTCATTTATTAATCATCCTTTGTTCTTTTTTAAATATAAATTCGATGATAAAATCTTCTTTTTTCTTTTTTTCTTTAGCACGAAAGACCTATTTCACGGAGAGGTTACCATTTCCTATATGAAATCATTACATTCTACTATGGCTTTGAACTTTTAAAAAAGAACACACACACTAAATGTCACTACTACTAGTTTAGGTCTTACACCTATACCGACACAATTTTTGAAAAAATGACACTTTTAGACGAAAAATCTAGAGTGATATTGATAGAATTAATTAAAAGAAGGACAGCTTACATAGTATAATTCTTGTAGATAGTTTTCAACTAGAATAAGAGATTGAGCAATGTGCCTCACGATACGCCTGCTACAATTGATGAATACACACAGGCAGTGCTGGGGTGGGGCGGTGGGGGGGGGGGGTAATTTTTTCACCAGTTATGAATCTGCAACAAGAAAGGGGGTACGTGGCGCTGAACTTCAACACATATATTCCCCGCCATTGGGATTCCCGTGTTTAAAAACCTGGGATTCCCCAGCCGTCAACTGCAAAATATCTTTTAGTCTTTGTTTTCATACTCTACTCTAACAGAAATCTTCTTTTTTTTTGTCTAATAAATACGACGTCTGCAATTAATGTAAGTCAAAGATGCACATAAAATCAATTTTCCTTACAATACAAACAACTCTAAGTGATTTAAAACAACTTTGATCCTTAAATGTCCATCAACATGATCTTGATATTTTAATAGAGTCAGAAAAATAAAGCCTATATCACAACATCGTGGGGATTCCCATGAACTGAATTACTAAACCATGTATCACGCTTGTCTATTGGTCCGTATTGGGGTGGATTACTGATATTGTCTAATCACAAACAAGAGTTTATAGAGTTTATAGATTGCCTTTAGAGCTGAACTGGAGCCAATGTGTTACTTGCATGTTAGAAGGACTTTGCTTTTCAGGAGGCCCTATACCTACTCTTGATCTGCTATATATATGTGGAGTACTCGTCTATCAAAATCTCAGTCTTGAGATAAAAACAATATTGAGAAGACTGACTAAACTTACCTGTCACGTTCTCCAGTTTAGAGCAACGAGATACAATTTAGCACACTGCATTGCAACTAGAAAGACAATAGCCAGTAGTAGTCTGTCGTGATATATTTTTTTCTTCTTCTGTTTGAAAATTGAAACTGTATGATCAAGAAGTGATGGCCGCGGCCTCGGTGGATGCCCCGATGTTAGAGGAGGCGGAGGAGAATAAGATTAAGGTCATCACGGAGGTCTATCGATCTCTTCTCATAGAGGTCCTGGATGTCAGAGATATTGCAGAAGGTCTCAAAATACAGTTTGACAGGGATGATGGTAAGATTTTGTTTTTATAGCTTTCCAATTTACCTATTATTAAGTATACATGGATGTTGGATAAAGGGGTTGTGGCGTGCGCCTGTAATCAAACTAACAGTGAGGACGCAGGTTCGAAACTGATTCACTACTTTCGGATGGTGACGTTTAAAGGTCGGTCCCCAGACGTAAATAATCATATCTGATTAATACACGTCTGTAAAAACCAAATACACACAGACGGGAGAGGCGTATGTATTGTCTAAATTTG